AAAATAAAATGTTCAATTATACTGAACAGAAAAACTTTCCACGGAGGTGCCAAAACTCTGCTCAGTTTAGGACTGCACAGTAAAGAAGGTAAATGCTCTCCCCCAGAAGTATGAAACAGCAAAATAAAAAGGAGTAGGAAAGCAAACAGCCTTGTGGGCTTTGCTCTCACTGCCACCTACTGTGACAGTGCATTTACACCTACACAACATCTTCCTGCCCTGACATTTTTCCACAGCCACAAGGAGTGTCACGTATGATTCAAAGGAGATTTATGCAACACCCTCCTGGAACCTTAATACCCTTTGCTGAACTTGGTTTGAGTACAAAGTGCTTGAGACACCGCAGAATTCAGCTTCAAATCTCAAAATATAAGGCTTGAACAGATGTTGGCAGCACAGCAGCAAGTGCAAAACATGCCAGGGTCAGGAATAGTTGGAAAACTGCACAGTAACTCACCGTCATCCAAGGTTCTCTCATTAGTCCAGTTTGTTCTCTCCTTTACATTTTTGAAATGTGGATGTTTCTCACTCAGGCCAGTGTCAAACACTGCTACTCTCACACCAGCACCTATTAATAGAAAAGCATTATTATTTTTTCTGATTCAGTTCCATAGTAAATTTATTCTATCAAGTTAAAGAGAACTTTTGTTTAATGTAGCATGCGATTTACAACCTCAGTAAGTCACAGATCTTAAATAAACTCCCACTCCAATTCAGAAGTTCAGCCAAAGATCATAAATATGACCAGCTTCTCCTAAACACAGTACACACACAGAGAGATGAACATTCCATAAATATACAGTGCATTTCAAACCAAATTATTCCTCAGTCTTTCTGGATCCGGCACCCAATGAGAGATAAACACACAGAAGTCAGTTAGCCTCTCCTTACACTTCACTTGTTTTTCCAAGGTTATTGTTCCAAGCCAACAAGCAAAAGCCTACCTGTGTAACCCATCTGCCAGAGGACATCTGCCTGCAGGGTCTGAGCAACCTGGCGAGGGATAGCCCTCAGCAGGCGCCTGCTGGAGTGTCTCCCTGTTGCGTGCCAGAAGCCAGAACCTAAGGAGAGGCTTGCTCTCCTCAAGGGGCGGGATGACTGCCACTTCTGAGTCCACCTGGTTTCATTGCAGTGCAGCATTGGATCAGCTATGCAGCATCAGGATGAAAAAAAACAGTATGAGGAAAAACACAAAAGATTTGATTTTTATGCAAATACACACATCATATTGTTACTACTGAGTATCTATTTTCTCTCATCAAAATCAGTAAAAGCTTCTGGTTTATCTGCTAGGGATACAGAGGTCCATAGTCTCAGGTAACCGAGTGCTGCAAAGGAAGTGTTTCTGTGTTGTAGACAGAACCATTGCCATGCTTTGGCAAAGGTTATGACAGGGCCATGGTAATTTTCTAAGCAAAACAACAGATTTCTGTAAATTAAAGAAAAACTGCAGGACACTTCTCATTTCTGTAATGCTCCGCTGATGGTTTGGAATAAGGCTGAGAACACTTCCAAAGCAGATCTCATGATCTCTGATCACAGACAATCACTTACACTCCAAATACTTGAGCGAGCGAAAGACCTTTCGCTGAGGTGTCACACGCTTGATGTTCGGGTGGTCTTCCAGTGTGAGCACTCCATCCTTCTGCTTCTCATGGATCTGAATGACTTCAAAATCGCTGGGATAGTCACTGGCTGGGTTGTTGCGAGGTACAATCCTCCAGTTCTCAATATCACTACTTTTTAGTGCGCTCGAAATAAATTTGCTTCTGGCTTTAGCTGTGAAGTATCCATTAAAAGCCACAATATACTCTGCAACAAGAGCACAGCTTATCAGAACTGGTAGCTTACTCATGCATTCACATCACAAAGTCTGACTCTTTCTTTATTTAGAGCAAATAACCACAATTTGAGGCACTTTTTAATTGCTTTTAGAAATCTGCAATTTATTTCTCTGCTACATAATGGGGGGGGTGTTGCATCAGGAAACCTGCAAGATGAGATAAAAACCTTTGAAAGGAAGGTAGAATTTTAAGTATCATGGAAGATGAAATGATGTAGCGGGAGCAGGGGAGAGGGAACAGACTTACTGTTACATCCAGCAGTACAAACTTATCTGCCAATTCAGTGTGTTTAACAGGTAAGGTTTAAGGCTCTGCATGGTACTGAGTTTTAGTGCAAATTACTGACTTTCCCAACTACCACACGCTCAGACAATGAAGCCAATCCAACAGTGCAGTCCTTGATGTGCAGCAGTGCTTTGGGAGTGGGCTCAGCCCCAGCACACCCCCCACATTCCCCAGGCACAGCAATGTCACTGCTGCCACCCTCCCTGGAGCACAGCACCACGGGGACATCACAGGGACCTGAGGCAGCAAGGGCAGGCAGGGCCAAGGTGTCCCACTGCTTCCCCTGCCATCTCAGCAGCCACATCTGCCTCACCTGGCCTTTCACCTGCTCCCTGTGCAATTATCTGCACTTTTTCCATGCACATACTATCACTTCCAAACTTAAGCAAATCCACAGAGACTTCTTGCCTTTGTCACTCCTCAAAACAAACAGCTACTGAACATACCAAACTTGCCCACCTGAGCCTTCACACTCCATTTCCACCTTTAACACCCTCTTTATTTCCCTCTCCCTTCCCCTGTTCTTTGAACACGGTATCCAGATAAGCAAAGAACCTCAGAAAAAGCGTTTCTCTTTTTGAATATAGAGAATTTAGCAGATGATTCTTCTACAGAAACCCTGAATGTTACAACTGCACAACACCACAAATCAGTACCATACACTTGAACTTCACATGGATTTTTTTTACTGCTTAACTCTTTATTACCATGCTCCACGACTGTCGAGGTGAACTCCACTTTCAGAGTAAGGCGAGAACATCCAGGACAAATGTGAGCCTCCTGAGAGGAATTCCCTAGTCTGGTACCAAAGTGTTTTTTGCCACAGAGTAAAAGAACAACCAGAACAAACCAGATGTTTGCAAACTTCATGGTCATGGAAGAAAATGGTTTCATTCCAAAAATTCCATATATTCAAATCACAATTTTCTTCTTTATAAACTAGTTCATTTTTGTTTCAGTAAACGTTGCTTTCGCTGTGCTGATCAACTGGATATTCTTAAAGCTGGGTCCAGAATAAGTGGAGATTTCATGGTCTTTCCAGGTCAAGCCTAACAAACAGGCTCATTTCTTTCTACGCTTCTTCTCCATTTTGTATTAAACGATTTGGTCACTCAGGATGTGGTAGCTGAGTCCTGTATTCCATTTCTGATGGCAAAGTTAACTCCCTAGAATTAGCAAAGCTGATTGCAAGCCAACCTGTAAGGCAGGGCAATATAGAAAATAATTAGATTGATGTTTGTGCAACTGTACAATCTGAAAACCTAAAAAAAACCCCAAAACACGACACCCTCGGTGGCTCATTTGAGAAATAATCAGGAAAAATGTTCACATGTCATTTAATAATTTTTCAGTAACATTCGAGTCTCTCCCTTGCTCAGACCAGAGCAGATGTGGAACATCTGGGTGTTAATCTGACAACAGAACAGTCAACAGCAACAACCAAACTCAACCACACTTTGTGTAAGGGAAGCAAAGAGGAAAAAATCAGATTCAAACTCTATGTCAAGGTCTGGTAAGGACAAGAGACAGAAGAGAAGGTAAACTTGCAGTCCCTGTGCTTGAAAATCGGTATGAAAAAAGTCTTTCAAATTTGTTTGAGCTGGGACATGCATTACTAAACAGGGGCACCCGAGAAAACAAGGGCTAATTACAGAATGCAATAATGTGAAGCTAAAGGAACGTGTTGGAAGTGTTTCCCACCTGGAGGGACAGCCTCTTCCCCTGATGTTCCAAAGTGCACAATGCACTCAGGAAAAATTGCAATGCTAGTATTGTTTTGCATTCCAAACACTTAACCAGCAACTGCTAGATTAAAGGCCATTAAGAGATAAGCAAGGAGAAACATTTATGCCTGGTTTGTCACACCACCCGGAGAAGCAGAGCAGAACTGCACACTGCAGCTGTGACCAGGGCTGGAAAGGAGGAGCCTTATTAGGGGGTTCACACTATTTAGGGGAATGATGGACTGACCTCACAGCACAGCCACAGAACGAAGCCGCTCTGAATGTGACAGCTGTTGCTTCATTTTTATTTAACTTTATTTAGCATTACTAAGTTTTCCCTTGACTGACAACACCATGACAGGCTGGGGACGGCTTGTGATTATAGTTTCCCCTTCATCCCTAAAGTCGACACAGTTACAGCACAGTAGTCTGACTGCTGGTCTTGGCCGAGCTTTGCCAGCCTTATCACTTCCCTCGCTTATAACCCTTATGGCAATAAAATAAAACAACCAAACAAATAAGCAAGGCAAACACGCTTAGGGCTGATAACAGGTTGTACGCGAGCACGATGCTGAAGTACGATGGAAACTAAGCGCAAAGGAACAGCACGCCCACAAGTTCCCTGTTTAACACCCTCCTCGCCAGGGGCCGGACGGGGCTCACCCCTGCCAACCTGCCCGTGCCCCGGGACAGCTGCGCTTGGGGTTCGCCGCAGCTCTTCCCGAAGCAGGGGACGGGCACAGGGACCGCGATGGGCTGGGACAGCCCCGGGGGGCACGGCCGTGGCCGCGGGGAGCAGCACCGGGAGCTGTGCCGGTGCCCCGCCGGCGAACGGGCGAGCCCAGCGCTGCCGTGCCCGGTGCCGGGGCAGAGCAGCGAGCGCGGCCGGCACCGACCCGGGCAGGGCGGAGCTGAACTGACAGCCGGCGGGCGAGGCAGCCCGAGACGACGGGAAGCGAGCCCCGGGAAGGGCGACCGGGCCCGCCCGCGCCCCCGAGCCCTGAGGGAGCCGCAGCGCCCCCGCCCCCTCCCGTCCCGCTCTCACCGCTCCGCCGCCGCCGCCCGGCCCGCCGCCATCTTGGGCGCTGTTTACCACCGAGCTCTCGCGAGAGCCCCGCGCATGCGCACGCGCAGTGCCCGGCACCGGGCGGAGCCGCTGCCCGGGGGAGGGAGTTGGGAGTGAGGGGACAGCGGGCCGGTGAGGGAGATCGGGAATGTGGGGACACGGGGCTGGGTGAGGGAGATCGGGAATGTGGGGACACGGGGCTGGGTGAGGGAGATCGGGAATGTGGGGACACGGGGCCGGGTGAGGGAGATCGGGAATGTGGGGACACGGGGCTGGGTGAGGGAGTTCGGGAATGTGGGGACACGGGGCCGGGTGAGGGGTCTGGGAATGCAGGGACACGAGGCTGGGTGAGGGAGTTCGGGAATGTGGGGACACGGGGCCGGGTGAGGGGTCTGGCTGCTCAAGGAACACGTGGGTAGTACCAGAGACGGGGATAGAAATATCCTCCAGCTTCACCTGTCTCAAGGTTCATTTAAGGCCTTGCTAAAGTTACTTGTGTTTAACTCCCCTTTGTAAACGAGCCTAAGTCACTGTTGGCCACACAACCCCTAGTTTTATACTGCCCAAAGCACGAGGTGTTCAGGGCCAGCTGAGGTGGGGTTTGGTTGGTGCAGGCAAACCCCTGTCGTGGGTCCCTGCCCCTGTTCCCCCCAGCCTGCTCCCTGTCTTCACAACTTCTTACGGTCGACTGGGATTGTCTTTTTGAACAGCATGGTTTCAGGGGGATTTGAAGGATTCTCAAATTCTGTCAGCTTTATAAATGGACATCATGTGAGAGACGGTCACTTACTGTCAGAAATAAAACTGTACCTGCTCCTGCCCAGCTACCTCAATGAGACAGTGAACAGAGATTAACACCGAGAACATCAGTATTTTGTTGCAGAGGAAAGCACCAGAGGAGCTGTTTAATACAAGGATACAGAAAGGATCCACACTCCTGCTGTCTAGGTTACATAGCTTGTTTAACAAGGTCTGGGTAAGTTACAGGAAGTCCTCCAAGGTTCATTACACGTCTCTGCAGCACTGCTCGGAGTCTGCTCACTGACCACGCGTCACACAGGACATCTGGATGCCCCTGTTTCACTTGGGGTGCAAAGCTTGCTCGCGTACGATCCCGCCGAGGTACAGGGCGAGCCGTGCCCACATCCACTCCGGCAGGCGCTCGGCCAGCGCGAACTGTGGAGAGGCAACGGGGGAACAGAGCACAGGGAAAGGGAGGGACACGTTAGGAAACATTCCACTCAACTGCTTCTCAAATCACTACCAAAGCAAGGCAAAACCTGCTTGAGCATCAGCAACTAAGCCTTAAATTCCAGCCCTTGGAAGTTAAGCTATTTAGCTGTTTTGGAAGGAGCACCCACAACTGAACAGTAAAGTTCTGCAAATAAATCCTAAAGCAGTTTGGACAAGTTCCCAACAGCAGTACTGTCCACTTGACTTTAATTGCCACATCTTGCCAGAATTCTTCCCATCTCTTTTATTCCCTTTGGACTAAACCCCACTTCTTCACTTCCTTCTATCAACCTCATGGTACAGGAAATCAGTAGGCAGGATACATGAGATGTGACCAATGTGCATAAAACAATCTGCCCCCCAAAAATGAAAACCCTAACAAATGGAGAACCTGCTTCCAGATAAATTAGAACAAAAGTATGGGGGTTTTCCCTGCTATTAATGCATCCTCCCCAACGCAGAAATATGCTCAATACATTAAGACTAAAAAAAGCTGTTTCTGTTCACAGAAGACAGTTGGCCAGTCAGCAATAGCCCAAGTGAAACGAGATACTCTGTGCCAATTAAGAAAAACTTGTCACTTTCCCATTTTTGCAGCGCATTTCAAGTGGGAACTGGATTCACTCTCCCATCTTAAAAATAAGCATGCCCAAGCATAATTTTCTAAAGCAGAACTAGTTAGAAAACATGGCACAATGCCTTGAAGTCCTACAATACACATGGCACTTTTTCAGAATATTAGCAGAGTTTTGACTGAGACTCCTAAGAAAGTAAAAATTTGATTTATTTTTACGTGACAAATAGTTGAATGAATATTTCCACATGAAATAGTTGAATGAATTCCATTACCAGTAATTCATGCTTCCAGAAACCAGAGGTCCTTGTGGATAACCCAAGAGTAGAAATAGCATGACTTGCATATTCCTCAGCAGAAGGAGACAAGAAAGATCTCTTGTTCAACCAGCTGTTGAATGGTACCATGTTTGTAGCAATTGTACTTGGGGTTAGACTTTGAACAAAAATTCCTTTTGAGGCATACTCATAATGTATTGCTCTACTGAAATAGTCCAAGTAGATCTAGAAAGACAAAAGCAAAGACATCTTTATTTTTCTTTTTTTTTTTCCCAAACAATGAAATGTCAGGGCAGAGTCTTATTAAAATTACAGAAAAGTCGTAACATACTTTATAAATCAGCTCAATAAATAAAAACTTGAATAAACACTATAAAAATATGCACTTTTAAGTGTGTTTCTATGTGTTATTTGTTTGCTATAAACCTGCCACAGTACAGTAACTTGCAGGACAAAGTGCTGCTTAACAAAATCTGACAATTTCTGCTTAAAAACAGCACAGAAACATTTATTTCATCTAAAACATCTTTGGGGTGTTCGGAGGCATTAAAGCCAGCTATGCCCAGTTAGAAGGCCAAAATAAAGTCTCATTCTTTAATACATTTACAGGGGAATTCTGCATTCAACTGCCTTCCCCAGAAGGCAGGTTAGTTACTTCCAGGGACTCCCTTATGCAAAATTATTCATTTGTTTATGTGTACCTGTGTTACCTCCTTTAGCTCATTTTACTTTTACAGAATAGCAAAAAAAAGGCACAAGACTAGTAACTGGGACTGCTGGAATCAGACAGAAGGAGCCTGGCTCAGCCTTATCAGGGCAGCACCACTGATGCCAGGCTGCTGCTCCTGCCCTGTCACACAGCCACTACCCCTGAGAAAAGGCATTTTAAACAGCAGCCTGTGAGCAAACTTGTTTCTGCTCCCAAATGGCCTCACAAAAGGCTTTCCCAACACTTTGCTGGGAAAGCACCTTGTACAAATGCTCTTACAAGTGATTTAGGAAAACTAAAGCAATCACTTCAAATACTGTGCACTGTTAATGCACAAAGAGGCTGAGAACACTAGAGCAGCTTGTTCTCCCTTCTGTGTTCCCAGGCCAGGCTTAAGACTGGATTGCTGATCTAGGAACTGCATTAATGATGCCAGCTAAATAAAGAAACTTTGGTATATTTGGGGTTGTTCCTTCTTTTTCATTCAAGCTTTTTAATTGTTTTAGTTCAGAGTGCAGTTCTACACACACTTAGCATAATCAAGGAGGCAGATACTCTGCACAGAAACGGGAACCTTAAGCCAGTTTCCACACTGAAGAAAATCTTACTGTAAAGAATTTTACACCTTGGCATAGAGACTGAAATGTTAATGGTTAGTGGCTCAAACAATTTGCAAAAGCAGTGGGTGCTTTGCTGCATGGTAACAGCCCAGGTACAGAGGGTGTAAGGACCAGAGAATGACCACAACAAATCAACCTTTGTTTAGAAACAAGTTGTTTTTTGAGCCAGATAAGGGAAAAGGCCAATAAGAAGCAGATCCTGTGATGTGGATCATGCCAGTGCTCTCCCTTACACAACTGGCTCACTGTACATGTGGTACAATGGTGTAAAAAGCCTTCCACCCCTTGGTGTCAGGTGAAGCACTGGCCTGATTTGGCCACAGCCCTTGTCACAATGGTGGCTTGAGCATGAGTACAGCCCCTCTAGCTACCAAATACTGGTGTGTAAGAGACTTGAGCTATGTCTGCACAGTTCAGCTGAATAAGAGAGAGATTAAATTCTGCCACTCTGCTTTGTGCATCTGAGAAAGGCAACATTTCTCCCAGAATTACTGTTAAGCCACAGTTCACACAAAATCAAAGAGCACTGACTTTGGTTCAAAGCCCAGCAGTGGTGAGGATGAAGAGTTTACTGCATAATACATATATCATTCACCACCAATATTTAAACAAATCCCTAGAAAACCTTCAAGTACTTTGATATCCTTGCTGCAAGTGTTTAAAAAAACCCATACCACAACCAAACTATAATGTACTTTCCAGTGCATACCATTAATTACACCCCAACTTACTTTAGAGGCTCCATAGGTTGTTACCAGTGGTGTCGGCTGACTACAGAATACAGAAGAAATGTTCACAATTGCCCCTTTCTTCTTCTTTACCATACCTGGCAGCACAATATGTGTCATCATGTTAGCAGAAGCAATACTGGTATGGATTGTGTCCCACAGCATATCCTCAGACAGATCAGTATAATAGTCCGCGTAGCCAGCAAACATTCCCACATTATTCACCAAAATCCCAATTTCTCTGTCTTTCAGAGCCTCCTTAATGGCTGGGTAAGGCTCACGCCCCTTGCTGAAATCAGCTACAATGAACTCTGTCTCCACGTTATAGGTCTCAGATATGCTCCTGGACACGGCCTCCAGCTTCTCCTTGTTCCTGCTGACCAGGATGATGTTGACTCCCCGCTTTGCCAGTTCTTGGGCGTACGCCTTCCCGATGCCATCCGTGCTATCTGCCAGGGAAAACAACAACAGGATGAACAAGGGGAGAAACAGAGCAACCCCAGCCTTCTCTTTGACAGTTCTTTCAATTATAGCTCTAGTCTCTTTTCTGAGATCATGTGGCGCTGAAGATGTTGATTTCAAAGCCACAGCATTAAAGACAACATTGTCAGCAGCCACCTTCTGCAATCCCCCTCACACAAGTTTTATAGTTTCTATGACAAGAGAGAGCTCAAAGCAGAACCTTAGTGACAGGCAGAGATGTCAGAGGTACAGGACTCGAACTGTGTTGAAGGACTAGAGCACATATGAAAACACCACAGCAAAAAAAGGATCTCGTCTGCATCTCTGTCTACACTTGCAGGTGTTCATGGTGTACCTTGTAAATTTTGAGGGAAAATTGCTGTAATTCCTTCTCAGCAGTCAGTCAAATCACTTAGCTTGTCCATATCCTGAGGAACTGAATCTAGTAAGGCAATGAGCAACAGCCACTCGAGCAGATTAACCTGCAACCAGAGGTAATACAGGCCCCAGGTTGTGACATAAAGCTCACCCAGCAGCACAAGCTATAAGTCTCACAGTACTGGCACAGTATGTCACATAAATATAGGCAAATATGACACTTCCTCTCTTACCAGTGACCACAGCCCATTGTCCATACTGCCTGACGAGATCAACCTCACCGCCCAGCTTGGGGATGACGTGCAGCCGCAGCATGCTGTAAGTGCCACACGCCAGAGACACACACTTTCTGACGGTGTACCAAGCTCCAACCAGAGCCAGGGCTTCCATGTAGAAACTGCAGGAACGACTGATTTCCCTGTACAAGAGGGAGAAATGATCCACTGCTGCCATGGTGATTACAAGCCTGGAAAAAAAAGAGATATGGGCAATTACAACCGGCTCTTGGGCCATGTAAACTTTTCAGACTGAATGGATAACCTTTGAGATTCAGCATGTTACAGTCTGATCACTGTTTTGATACAGAAAACCCACAAGTCGGCCTGCTAAAACCTGGGTATCACCTACCATCATCCTCACTGATTTAGGTACTGTTTAGCTCTTGTTTAGCTATTAATCAGTTACACTGCAATGACACTGATCAACGACACCACAAACAAAACTATTCAAGCAGGAGAAGCCCAACATGTCAAAACTAATTTTGGAAGATGAAGAACTTCCTGTAGGAGAGGCAAGGATGATCAGCAGGACAGAGCTGAGACGCAAAGAAACAACGGGCTCTTTGGAGGCCGAAAAGCTACACGGGAGACAACGCAAGCCCTGAGGCAGAACTTCATTCCCACCGCATCTCCCGCCGCCCCCGAACCAGGGCGCGGTGCAGCGCATCGGCCACACCGCGCCTGCCGAGCCCTCACGCCTTTTACTGGGAGATACAATTTCAAACCAAGCACAAAGCTCAGCCACCGCCGCCCGGGCCGGGCCCGATCCCCCGGGCCGCCACACACGCAGCAGGCACAGCGGGGCCGGGCGCGCCTCGCCCGCGCAGCCCTGACGGACCCGTCCGGGCCCCTCCGCGGCCCGGGCTGTTTCGGAGGGGCCCCGCAGCCCGGCCGTGCCCCGGCGGTCCCCTGTCACCCTCGGGCCTGTCCCCCCTCACCCCCGGGCCGGTTCCCCTTCACCCTCCGGGCCGGTTCCCCCTCACCCTCTGTACCTGTCCCCCTCACCCTCTGTACCTGTCCCCCCTCACCCTCTGTACCTGTCCCCCATCACCCTCTGTACCGGTCCCTCCTCACCCTCTGTACCTGTCCCTCCTCACCCTCTGTACCTGTCCCCCCTCACCCCGGGCCGTTCCCCCCTCACCCCGGGCCGTTCCGTCCCCGCCGCCGCGCGGGGCCGCCGGGAGCGGCCGCACCGCCTTGTGGGCCGTCGCTCGCGGTCGCCATGGCAACAGTGCGGGCTGTGGCGGCGGGGCCGGGCCGCGCTCCCTCCCGGCCCTGCCGGGACCTGCAAAAGTCAGGCCGCGAGGCCGGTGCTGACTCGGGGGCTGTGAGAATGGAAGCGCCCGCCGCAGAGCGGGCCGGCGGCGGCGGAGGGGAGGTCACAGCGCCAGAGGCGGCAGAGGCACCGCCGGGCGACCCCACAGCCGGAGCTGCCCCCTCAGAGCGTGAGGGCAGCGCTGGCAGCACAGGTGAGCCCCGGGCTGGTTCGCCGGGACCAGCTCGGGACACTCTGGCCGACACAATGCGCTGACATCGTCTGTTAACTACTCACCTGGATGCCATGCGAGGCTGTGCTTTCTCCCAGCAAAGTCACTGGAAATCCTGCCATAACTGAGGCGTGCTCAATTGCTACCTGCCTGTCCCTTTTTTTACCATTACCTCTGTTTCTTTACTTTCCTCTTGCCGGAGAGGTACTTTTTCCTGTGTTGTGATCACACAGCTGGCCTGACCTCTAAATCACAGACCACAGGTTGCAGAATGGGTCACGCTGGAAGGGACCCCAGTGGTTGGGACCATCTGGCCCAACACCCCGCTCAAGCAGGGCCATCCCAGGGCTCATGGCACAGCATTGCATCCAGAGGTTCTGGAATATCTCCAGTGAGGGAGACCCCACACCCTCCCTGGGCAATCTGTCCCGGTGCATGGTCACCCCCACAGTAGGGAAGTTCTTCCTCATGTTCAGGTGGAACTTCTCTGCATCAGTTTCTGCCCGTTGCCTCTTGTCCTATTAAATAAGTCCTATTATTATGTTTCAATTACAATCATATTTAAATGAGCTGGTACAATCATCTTGTTTGTACTGTCTCTTTTTAAATGTGCGGACTACAAGTGCAACTAGAAGGTCCAGAGCAAGATTCTGAAGAGAAGAACATTGAAATTCCTGTTACTCAAAGGCTGTGTAAAGACAGTGTGAATGAGTGCAGCTCTGCAGACACCTTCCAAGGAGTGCAAAAGGGTAAATCTGTGGAAGAGCTAAGCTAACAGACAGTGCTTGGGATGACTCAGATACAACATTACTGTAGTCTCTCTACATGCAGAGTTAAGAGTCTTGTTAAATGCAAATTAGTGTTAATTAATTGTAATACATAGTAGATGTCTAAGACCATAAGAACATTGATGCCAGTACTTTATTGTCACTGCACATTATAATAATCTTAAGACTAGTGGGTATTACCTGACTTCCACATCTAAAAAAAAAAATAAATGCATATTTCAGCAGATAAGTTTGCTACTACTTATTTTACTACCTTGCCTTCTAAAAACATTAAGTTTCATTAAAATTATCAGCAAAAATCTTGGTTAAAACCCTCCTCCTCCTGAAATTCACATTCAAGTGCTCTTCAATATTTCTCTAAAGTAATTGGCAACATGACACATTTTCCCCACCCTTGCTGTTAAATTGCAACTCCTTTTCTTACTTACAAAGATGTTAAAACTCAAGAGAAAGCCGTCAACTGTATGTCCAGAGCAGACCAACAGAATGAACAAAAATCAGGTGTTGATCACGAGCCTGTAACCAGCTCATCCAGTCAAAGGACAGCAGAAAAGAGGGGCTCTGTAAGGTAATGCATTGCTTGTGGATGTGTTTTATTTAAATCTTGGCATCATTGAAATCAGTGGGAGTTTTGCTGCTCTGCATGTTGATCTTAACTGGAGAACAATTTTGCAGATGAACTTAAGAATAATCGATGAATCAGGAATTAGTGATGTACAGATGTTTGGTTTTTTTATGGCCACAGTAGCAAACTACATTCTAACCACATGAGGTAGTCTATTTAGTGGATCTGGAGAAAATTGTGCAAACTCTTGTGGGAGTCATTTGCCAGTAGATTTGACCATTTCTCAGCATCAGTTCAGACAAGGCATTGTGTTAATTCCTCGTGGCATTCCCAGCCAGCCACAGCTGCACAGTAAAACTTTCTTGAGTGCTATTTCAGAGTCAGCATTTCATTAAAATGTTGGGCTGAGAACTATTGATTTTTCTAGTCTGAGAAAAATGTTGCATAGCGGCTGTGCCACCTAAGGTCCTGTACCAAAGCAACAAGGAACAGAGGAAAGGATTGGAGAGGAAGGAAGGAGAAGCTGACATAGAATCACGCTGCTCTTTTCCAGGAAGATGGACTCTCTAATTCCCTACCCATTTTCCTACGTACTCTCTGTTTTTTAGCAGAAGGGTCTGGTAACTCACTTAAACAGGTAGAAATGAGAAGCCACTCTAAAAAAACCTACTGCTTTTTTAATTTGGAATATTTTTGAAATAAATTTTTGAAAGCTGTAGCTATTTGTATTGCGTGAAAGAACTATTAGTTGTGTTGCATTGGAATCTGTAAGGAAGCAAAAGATTTCAGAATGTGCACTGAAATACACTTTTTGTTTTGCTTCTGCTTCTTGTTATTATTTTAGAATGACAAAAAAGACTCTGCTGGACATCTGTAAACAGCAGAAGTTATACTGGACCCCCTACTTAAATGATACACTTTACTTGCATTATAAAGGTAAGATGTGGACATGACTGTTCAGATTTATCATTCCAAGTAGCATTTTAGCAGAGAAGCTATTTCATGGCTCACTAAAGTAAGATATCTAGTCATTCTTTTAAATTAAAAGCATAATTTTATATAATACTGGAACTGGGAAACAAAATGTCTCAATATGAAGGTAGAAAAATAAACTGATTATACATCTAATTCACTTTGTGTAGTCATTCAAGGGATCAGTAGGAATCAAGGGACATATTTTTGGTTTTGTTTCCTAAAACAATAGCCTCTGAGAAGTGTCTTAAAATACTGGTCTGGGTTGCATTCAGAGGTAAATATATGTTTTTTTTCCTTAAATGTGCTGGTACAAAGAGCTTTTGTGTGCAGGGTTTGACCGGCTGGAGAACCTGGAGGAGTACACGGGGCTGAAGTGTTTGTGGCTGCAGTGCAACGGCCTGAGGAAAATCGAGAACCTGCAGGCCCAGACAGAGCTGCGTTGCCTCTACTTGCAACTCAATTTAATTGAGAAGATTGAAAACCTTGAACCCTTACAGAAGCTGGATTCGCTCAACATCAGTAACAACTACATTAAGACCATTGAGAATCTCTGTAAGAACTGTTGGTACAACCTTGGCCAAGCCCACGTTCCTAAGCTCTGACTAAGCTATTATCAGTGGCACTTGTTTCAAGGGATAATTTTATTCATGATAGAATTTTGCACAATATCCCATACCAAGTCCACAGGGCTTCTGTTGAGGAGTCAAACCTATGTATTTTGCAAATTAAATCGATGAAAAAAGAGAAAATACGTAGGAACTACTTTCACGTGGATACCTAGAATAATTAGGGGTTTTTTTCCTCACTTCTTAGTACCATCTCAGTCTTATCTGTGTTGCAGACAGGCTGACAATCCAGTTTTCACTATTTACTTTACAGTTAAGATGTGCTTTGGCAGTTGCAGACACAATTACTGAATCTCTTATGTCTGCTAAAAGATTTATTCTGTCTTCAGCAGAAAATAAAAACAATTCCCCTACATTACCACTTGCATACATTGGAAAATTTTGAAACGTGTGTAACTAATTAGTTTGAAATGTGAATGAAGGACAACCACTATCCCAAAACCAAACAGCTGTTTCTCCCAGGGTGAAGAAAGCAGCTTTGGAGGCCTAGCCAAAAAGTGCATATAGCAGAAGAACAAATTTGGAAAAAATCTCCAAATTCAATACAAACAATTAGTTTGACAATGCAGTTTTTTCCTTGCTCCAGGAACCCCTCTGTGAAGCAACAACTCTTACCTTTCCTCTCCTTGTCCTTGTTGTCCTGCAGCTTGTCTGAAAGTCCTGCAGACTCTGCAGATTGCTCACAACAAGCTGAGGACAGTGGAGGACATCCAGCACCTGCAGGAGTGCCCCAGTATTTCTGTTCTGGATCTTTCCCACAACTGCCTCAGTGATCCAAGTATTGTAACTATTCTGGAGACCATGCCTAACCTGGTAAGGCAAACACAGCTCAGGGTTCCTGTCGGGTGTGGGTGAGCCCCATGGAGTGGTTTGGTTGGGTCGTTCAGTGCACAACAGGCATTGGTTTAAAAGAAACATTATTAACCATTGTTTTATTTCTTGTTGATTACCTCTAACACTCAGGGTGTTTTATTCACCCCTTGTTTCTGAAATGACAGGGAAAGTGCATATCCAGATTGGGGTTTTTTTGCTATTCAACTTTAAAAATGGTTCCCCTTGTTTCTCTAGCACGTGCTGAATTTGATGGGAAACGAGGTGATAAGGAAAATTGCTAATTATAGAAAAACACTTATTGTTCGGCTAAAACAACTAACATATCTGGATGACAGACCAGTTTTCCCAAAGGATAGGTAAGAAACACAACCTTCATTACACAGCAATAAAGATCAAATGCTAATGATCACTCACACACTTTTTGTCAAAATTGCCATGGAAGGAAAGGAAGACTGACCAGTATAATTTATTGAAGGTGGGTGACTTAGAGGACAAGAGTATTGTATTGCAGACTTCTACATCTAACATACCTAGAAAAAAAGCAATCTATTTTTTCACAAAAGAATTCTTGAGCAGAATGCTCTTAGGCCAAGTCTGTAGAGCAGAAGCAAATCCAGATTTCAGCAGAATCTGAGCGGGTGTCTGGAAGAGCCGAGCCAAGCCCAGCCCAGTCTCTGGGGCTGTGATCCCCAGCATTTGGCTAGCTTTGTTTTTTTGTTTCAGTTCCACATACAAGATGAGATACACGTTCATCCCTGTTGCATAAGGGATTGTCACTGCTAAATGCTTTTTTTTCTATTTTGTGCTGTTTCAAGCTATTTTAAATTTCTCTGTCCTTGCAAAGATGGGCTTTTATAGCTGTATTACAGTGAGTTTTTGTGTTTTCATTAGAGCCTGTGCAGAAGCCTGGGCTGTTGGAGGGCTTGAAGCTGAGAAAGTAGAAAGGGAAAAATGGGAAACCAGAGAGAGAAAAAAAATCCAAGATAGCATTGATGCATTAGCAGCAATGAGGCAAAAAGCAGAGGAAAATAAAAGACAAAAGTGCATGGAAGAAGGAGATACAAGTGCAAGATGTGTAAATGGAGATGCAACAGATATCCTAGAAGGTTTGTGCTTACAACTTTGGAAGCTGTCCGTAATCACTTCAGTTTGAATGTGCAGAGGAGTCTTTATCTGATATTCTTTGGGTTGACTAACAAGTAAAATTTGTTCTGCAAGCAAGTGAATTGCACAAAGGAGAGGACAACCAGCACTTGTTGCTGATTCATCAAAGTCCTCAAGCATATATTTAAATATGTAGTCACTTGTGAGTCTTTTCAAAGTTAACTATAAGGACCAGCCAATTGTTTACTACAGTGTTTTCTCTAGATGATTTTTTTTTTGCCGGGGAATTTTATTTGCTGGGGAGTTGAGATGGGAAAACCCACAACATTGCTGCAGTCTTGGGAGGACTACTCATCCACAAATAGCTGCTCAAGTGAAGTAGGAGCTTTTGCTGCATATTTTAGGCCAGTGTAGTAATGTTTGGACATTTAGATGAGCAGTGGTAGATTGACTTAGCAATTTTAATGAACTTGTTTCTTCTGTAGGAGCACCTGCAAATTCAAAAGATGGTGATGGAAATTCTAATACATCAAAGCCTTCAAATATATCAGAAGAGGAAGAAGCTCAAGAGAAGACTGAGAAATTTAAAGATGAAGGTTTCGATGTTAGTGATGAAGTGATAACACTTCTGCCAAATAGGGAAGATAACACATCTGGAAATATTCCTGCTGGAGTTCAAGAGGATGTGCAGGAACCAGACTTTTACAAATGTGCAGATCTCAACCAGGAGACAGATGGTAACGTACCCAGTGAGGAACCAAAGCAAACTGAGGGTGCAGAGATGATGAGCCAAACTCTGCCTTAGAGCAGCCTCTGCTGATTCATAGATAAGAACATTCCATTAGATTTCCACAGTGACTAGGGAAAATCAAGCAATACTGGATAAAATATTCTTTAAATACAACAAATAAAAAAAATTCTGAGGGCTTAACCTGCAACTTCTGCAGCTTAAGGGTGGAACTGCACTTCTCAAAAATGCCAGGTTTAGTGACAGGACAGGCTTCCCTTGGTGCCACTGTGCAGTCTGTCTGCCAGCAGAAGCTGGTCATCCCTCCAGAGGTGGGTTTGTGCCCTCACACATGGAAGAATGCTTTATAGATTGTGGAATACATTACTGCCAATTGAAAATATGAATTTATACAATATAAGATATAAGAGAGACCAAGAATGTGCTGGAAAGACCAAGTGCTGGATTCAGCTGTGAGTTCTGCAATGGTGGTCAGTCCCCAGCAGTTTGGTTCTGCAGTGCTTGCTCTTGCAATGTAGACATTGTTTTATTCAGTTAGTTCTCTCCAACTGACTGTTGTTTGTTCTTTAGATCTGCCAAGACAGGAGGCAGCCACTGACAAGGCCCTGCTTCCTGAAGGGGATGAATATGCTGGAATGGAGCAGTTCCAAGTGGAGACACTGGAGAAACTTTATCTTGATGTATGTATTGGACTGAGATTTTGAGCAGTTTACATGTGGGTATTGTCTTCTCCAAGGTAATTCCTGTAACATCCTGGCCAGTATGCCCAGGTTCTTAAGAGAGCTCTACTATTAGGATAAGTAAAAGGAACCCAAAAGGTAACGTTGCAGAGGTATTCATTCTGTCCATGTAGCATATATAAAGAATTTACCACTGCTTCCAAAGTTTATTTTATCCTTAAAATTTTTGTCCTACAAGTGCTTTTGTCCTATAAATCACCTGAAGTTGACCTTCTATCTCTTTGATTTCTCTGGAGAAGCTAATGAGGGCTCTCATTTAAAAACAAATCATATCAAAAAGAATCTAGTAGATACATTGGTCCTCTTAAGCAAAACTCAAATGAAATATGCAGTTGAAAATGTGAGCTATTGCAGAAAAAGCATAAGGAAGAAATAGCAACCCCATCATTGTCAATGTTACCTACCAGTATCAGGTATTATAAATTAATTCTCAAAATAGAACTTGGAGGTCTATTTCCAAGAAAAGCAGGATTTGCATTATTCAGGTATATAATAAGTAATTGACATTTGGAATATGGTCCTGTATTATCTAAGACTGCTACCTTTAAACATGTTTACCACACTTAACCCTGGGGAGGACATGGATACCACTGAGAAATACACCCTCCCTTCAGAGCAGAACTGTTCAGTGTGTCCTGACAAGGACTCTGCTGCTGCACTGACAGTGTCACACTGTGACACAACCAGCAAGAACAAACTTCTGGCCTTACCATTTCCCAGAGCACTTCATATACTCTTTGATACCTTACACTGCCATGCGTAACTCCTGCCAGAAAAGTCTCATATCTTTGCCATGCTCTCAATCTCCCAGGAAAAAATTCCATGTTCTCCAAGGGCTCAACCCACTGCTTCAGTAGAGGGTTTGCTGCTGCCTCCTCCTGCTTGGCTGTCTTTAATAATGGGTTTAAAAAACACAGTGGAGAGAACTGGCAGCAATTCAAAGCATACACAATACTATCTTTAAAAGCAGATCTTGCAGGGTCTGAAATAAAGGCTTAAATATGTGGTGATACTGTAGGTACCCACGATGTGAGGAACTCATCAGTTCAGTGTTTGTTTTTCCCCTGGTGCTCAGTGGCACCATAGGAAGCTCCTTTGCACAAACTGTGACATAAAGAACTGTTCAGCATGCACCCCTGGGGTTTCTTTAGATCTTAAACAGGGACTGTTTTAATTCTGCAGGAGAAAAGCCAAACCCAGATCACACACTAATGCACATTTCAGTGTCCTTTGCTACTTTGTTCTCCAGCCACGTTTAGTAACAGCAAGAGCTTCTCCCAGCAAACCCCCTCCTGTACTCACATCACTGCAGACGTTCCGGAGTGCTGACATGGCAGGGGATGGCTGGGAAGGGCTGGTGAGGGGCTCTGGAGCAGCACAGCTGTCCTGGTTCGGATACCGACTGTGGATGGTCTGGGGAGTGAGATAAGGGAGGAGAGTGGAGAGGATTTGCAATGTGGTGGTTGTGACATCCCTTTGTCAAGCAGAAACAAGCTCCTGTTGCTGCACAGGCCTCGGCAGTGTTTGACCCACATTCCATGTACCTAAACCAGGAGGACTTTTAGTGAGTGATTTTGGTTTGGTCTGCAGGTGCACCCTGCTGATTGCAACAATAACAGCTACTTCACCTCCCTGCTGACACCAAATTCCACCCACTAACATTAGTCTCAGATCTGAAGTTGTACTTGTTGACTGCTGTTTTTGTAAAGCTGTGTCACTTCAGGACATGCTGCACTGGCCCCAGCTGTGAGAGGAGGACGGGGGGCACTGCTGGCCGTGGCCTCACACCCTGACAGGCACTGCCCTGGAGAAGGTTCCCAGGGAGCAGAGGTGTCCTCCTTCATGGGTTACAGTAGCTAATCCCTGATTCATGGTCTGTGATTGTCTTCAGGAACTGCCTGATTTAGAAGATGTAGATGTAACTGAATTTCCCCTAGAAGAGGAAATCTTTGTTCAGAAGGTAACATTTTTATTAATTCCAGTAATGAAGCTTGCCTAAACACATTCACAAATGTTTTGCAAAGTGAGGATAATCTAAGTTTTGAAATCCTGGGTTGGGAGGTGCAATCAGTTATGCATTTATAAACTAAAATGGATGATTTCAGCAGATCATATCCACTTGTAAATTTTTTTAAATTTTTTATATTATTCTGTAGCAAAAATAGGAGAATGAAAACCTAAGATCAAGTAATGCACCAGTTACATAAGTTTAATTTCTTAGTAGTATGTAATGTTATAATGAAGATTACTCTTAAAATACACTTTACCAGTACAAATATGCTGCAAAGGACTGAATAGAGAGAACAAAGCACCTGCTGCTGAATAAAATCTGACATTTCAGCTGAAAACACAGAGATTGACCCTCCTCTGCTCCACTGCAGGCCAGTCCTCGTGCACATTAGCACTTTGCTTTGCTCAAACTAATCTTTTAGGCAAAAGCCTATAAGCAGAAACAGAAGGGGTAAAAAGAAGGCACCAAAGACTAAAAGCACAGTTTTGGCTCTCCTGCTAATCAGAGAATCATCCTGGCCTTGCTGGAGACAGGGGCTGGTACAGGACATGTTCTTACAAATCTCTCCAAGGTAACTTTTCTGACAGTCAGCACAAGGCATGGAATTTATTTTCTCTTTTGGTCACAGACTCACAGCAGCGTTGCAAAATGTCTTGGTCAACAAAGCCTCCAATTAAAAGAAGGCAAGGGAAGGGAACAAAGGATTAGTGAAGGAGTCTGTGTTAGCAGCTGTCATGCTGCAAAGGGTGCTCAGCTCTCGACTGAAGACAAATGAAGATGTTAGTCAGGTTTGGAGTAAAGTAATCCAATGCAGCCCACACACTGCTGAATTGATGAAATAGGGCTTTTTATGAACTGTTGCTGGTTTATGGTCAGTTGGTCACTGAAGCCTGAGAGCCATCCATACAGCAGCAGGGCTGGGGGGGAAGCACATCTTCCCTACATTTTGGGAGAACACCACATCGAAGCTGACAACTGTTACATGGATCCAAGTGATAGTTACCCATCCTTTAGCTTTTATATCTAAGAATAATATATTTTCAATTATGTTTTCTACCTTTACAGCAGGACTATCACCCAAAGATTGAAATAATTTCTGAAGTGACAAATGACAGTGATTCTGCATTAGAGGAAAACAATAAAAGCACGTTTGAGAAATCAGTAGAAGAAGTTCCAACAGCAATTTTTTCAAATGCATGTAAGAGCCATAAAGAGCATGAAGAGGAGGAGCACTTAAGACCCCTTCTTGAAAGCTTCTTTACAGAGCCTGCTAATTCAGAAAGACACCTGGAGATCAAAGATAAAAAAGCAGCCCCCTTGAGACCCTTGATACAAGAGGTAGTCACTGAGCCCGAGGACCATCTGCTGTTGTCATCAGTCTGCCATCAACCAGATGACCCAAGCCCATGGGAAGAGGATGGTAAGATTACAGTGACATTACTGATCACAGAGGAAAAGGTGGGTGGCACATGCACACTAAAAGTAAGGGTCTGTTCAGCTCTCGTTGAAGATTGCTAGTTACAATGACCTTTTCCTTTTATTTGTGTGGGAATCCTAATAAATTAGGAATTAAAATGGTATTTTCTCTTTCTCTACAGAGGATTTCTTGCTGAGTTTCATTGAAATGGTTTTAAAAAATTGGGCTCTACGTTTCTTTTTTCAGCATTAAAGACCACCAAGTGATTTTTATCTGTGTGTTACCTCTGTGCTTTTAATAGGGGCTGGCAGTGATGGAGAAGCTCCAGTGATGGAGGGCCTGGCTGAGGGTGAAGGGTGTCCTCACAGAGCACCAGGGGACAAGGACACTGACAGTGGATTGGATTAATCCCTTTGGAAACAAAGGGACCAAATCTGGAGCACAGCACCTGGCTGAGTGCATGGGACCATCCCAAAGGATGGAGCCCAGCAGTGGGACCATCAGTTGGAACTGGCACCACCCGGTGACACACAAACCCCTGGCCCAGGCTCTGCAGGGCAGGGGCTGTTCACTGCTTTGCAAACTGCTGTTCTGAGGTTAAATTCCATCCTCCTGTTCTTTGTGCCTTTGCATCCTTCTAGAAATTACTTAGTTAAATGTTCATATCTCAGGGTTTCAATACAGATGTAGTTTCAAAGCAAAATGTAACATGTATCTGTCATTTGAACCAAATAAAGATTCTGCTTGTAACCACACCCTGTGAGAGGTGGCCTCATCATCAAGGGCTGACAATGTTTTTGTGACACAACCACCACCACATCAGCAATGGCCTCAGCTCTGAGTGACCTCACTTCACTAAGCCCTGCTCAAATTCAGGTGAGTGTCTTTTCTCATGTTTCTATAAATACTTAATAATTCGTGATAAATAGAATTGAACAGGTCTTGTAGATGTGCAGATTTAGAGAAATAAAATATTACTCTGGGCTTGTTGAAAAGCTGTATTTCCAGTTAGCTGGGCTTAGGTGCCATCTGGTGGCAAGAGAACTGGATCTCACAGTGACACAAAGTAATTGTAAAAGCCCTTAGGGAAGACAACACAATTGCTTTAAATTTCAGCCATTTTCCACCCTCCATGGATTAAAACATGCTGGTAAAATCCTTGGGCTGCAGGACAGGGTGGGAGGGTGAGCCAAGGGCCTGTGGAGAACAGGCTTGTCTGAAAGCACCAGCAAAGGAATCTGCCCTTCAGAAAGCTGCAAATGCTGCCAGCAACCTGTGGGAGCTTTCTCCTAAAAAGTAGCTGCTTCCTTTTCTGGAAGCTGGATAAGGACCACTTTGAGGGCTTTGGGTTGTGCATTTTCTGTGCTGTGTTTTAGTGCCTGTCCTGGTACCCTCTTCCTATACTAGAAACAAGGAGGGACTATATTATGTTTGTAAACAAAAGATTTTAAAAAAGTAATCCAAGAGTGAAGTTTGAGCTCTATTATCACTGAAAGCAAGAAAACCAGGATACATAAAAAAAAAAAAAAGGCAGCAAGTGGTTTCAAGAACTACAGATTCCTTTACTGTGGGTATATACAGATATACCCATCCTGACCAGCATTTTAGTTTGGAGAATTCAACAGCTTTCTGAGCTGTGTTTACTTTGCCACATTTTACATGTGAGGTGTCTCCAGGTCCTGTGTGTTCACAGTGACCACAACCCACCAGCAGGGCCTGTTTGAGCTCACAGGTAAATCCCCTGAATCTTACTGGAGGTTTGCATCTGGGAAGGAGAAAAGGAGTGAGGGGTAGGCGAAAGGAGTGAGAGAAATGCCAAAACAGGACTAAATGAGAAAAAGGAAACATGTTTAATTAGTGTTCTCTGTAAAACTTTACAAATGTACAGCATAGTGCAAAACGCAGTCTCAGCACGTCACCTTCGAGTAAAATTAACAGTGTAAAAAGCCGAGGAACACGAGCTTGGCTCTTCACAGGAGTGGCTCCCAAGTTCTCTTCCTGGAGGTTCCTCTCTCCCTGTCAAGCTCCAATCCCATGTTTATAGTAGAGCAAAAAGCCTAAAGAAAACCCCAAGGACCCTCCCGAGAGGCTGCTCCCCACGAGCTCAGGCTGCCCCTGCACAGACGCCGCAGCCCGGGACAGTGTCGGGCCCTGGGCCGAGCTGAGCCGGCCCTGCACAGGCAGCTCCCCGAGGTGGGTCATTGCTCAGCCCCAACCAGGAGGGCACTGAACCCACACCCAACCTCAAGCATGCCACAGGCTTCGGAAAAAGGCTTCAGGAGCTTGAAGTTAAGCATGTGCTTCAATACCTTGTTGGATCAATACATTCAGTGTTAACATTTCAGCAGCCGAGAGTGTGGGAGCTCAGAGAAGGATGTGAATCTTGAACACACACTGCTGGGTGTCAGCAGACACCAGACAGCCTTCAATTATCTATGAGAAAAGAATTAATCAGAGTGCAACTCAACGACTTTCCATCACTGGAAATGGCAAAATAGTGGCAAATGGGCTGATCTAGGTGAACTTTCTGAGCACAAATCCCTTGAAAAGGAAAACCTTTTCCAGGATACACTCAAGCACATCATCTAAATACCAGGCCAATGGGGGCTGCCAGAATTTTCCCTTAGTCCTGAACACAAAAACGGTGGCTGGGATTAATTCAGAAGCTCTCACACCCTGCTCCTGCACAGACTGCACCACCAAGGCAGTGACAGAGCTCCCAGCACACAGGAGTCAGCTGGGGGAAAATGTGCTCAAAAGTGAACGTTTCTGAACTAACACATCTGTTCACATAATGATAAATGGATGGAGGAAAGGGCTGTGACAGGAAGGTCCATTTAAAATATGCTCATCTTATTGTTATTTTGAGCCTGCACTCATCTGATTGATTGACTGCATTTTGGTGTGGATGCTGCTTGACCAAGATGCTCAGAAATCTGGTTTATAACCAAGAGCTGTCATGGCAATGAAAGGGGACAGAGCATTTCTTCAAATGACACTGGCACAGCTTACACCTCCCTGTCTAAGCCCTTAGGAGGCCTGAGTTAATTGAATTTCCTGGATCTGTTCTACTGCATTTGAGTAGCTTTCCTAAGGAAAAGCAACTCAGGTAGAGGATATTGAGATAAATAATATGTTCTCATTAGAACTACAGCATAAAAAACAAAGCTCTGCTTTGTTGAGAAACTCAGTCGTCAGAAACCACATGGAAGGGGAAGATTAGTTCAGCCTTTGAGGCTGGTCTCAGATGCACAAAGGACAGAAGAAAAGTTTGTGGGACATGGTGGACTAACCCTTCTGCTTCTCTCCTACACTGAGCAGCTGAGAGTCCTTCTAAAAGGGGGATCCAATCAATTGAACTCTTTAATCAGATTTTATACATCAATAAACCAACGGGCACATCTTCAGAGGAAATAGAACAGGTCAAAGCCAAGGGAAAAAAAACCATTGGACTGGACATGGAATACTTAGCCAGCACCAAACCCCAGAGTGTGCTCCCTCAGTCCCCTCTGCACATGAAGAACTGCGTGTGCAGAAGAGTCTATCCCTTTTTTATGTTTTTAAGTATGGAGTGCCCTGCCTTTCTCTAAGAGAAAAGAAATTTGGGGCAAAACAAATCCCAAACAACAAACGCTCTCAACTCAGCGTGGGATGTTTTGTGGCCTGTGATGGCCTGTGGCTCCCCTGAGAGCCAGAGACACGTCCTGGGGGGTCACTCAGAAAATTATCTTCTGCACACCCTGAGAGATCTGTTTCCTACTCACCCTAGGAGGACAAGGGAAAGGCACAGGTGCATCCCATCAAACCCAGAAAATGGATAAAAAATATTTGTAGAGCATTAGATTATTTTCCTATTTCAAGAAGAGCATGGAGAAGGGTCAGGCATCTTAGCTAATCTGTGCTGCCCCTGTAAAATCCCACAGTTTGCCGTAGCAGACACTAGTCAAGATCACTATTTTATGAAGTCCCAGACTTCATAAAGGACTTTCAAGCTACTTTTCACTTAAATTTTGTTAGAAGTTTTGAAATTTCTAAAAGCATTTTCAAGAAAAAAAAATCCTGCCAAGTTTTCACTCCCCCTAGGAGCAAGCACCAGAAACAGTATTTTGTTTTAAAAAACACTGAAAACCAGGTGCAGGGAGAGCAATGCAACAGCTACCAACCATTTCCATCTACTCCAAAAAAAGGGCACAAAAAGAAACTCTCTAGTGGGTTTCTGAGTCACTTTGGTTTCTTTACATTCAAACCTGTGGATGCTTGGATGGGTGGGAGGGAGATGTTGGTTCTTGGAAGCAAAATCACTGGCTGTTGTCTGTTGAAGAGCTTAGGTTTAAAGGGATGTCCCCCTGGACCCCCACAGAGGACAGGTAGGAAGCCACATTTTCAGGTGGAACATAAAGGGATGAACTCTCAGGCAAGCTGAGGAGGTCGTTTCCAAAGATGGACTGACGGTCGATGAGGAACTGCTGGGCACTCTCCAGGATGACATCTTTCCCTGGGAATGCAAACACACAGGAGAAAACTCAGCTTCTGCAGGGCAAGTTACCCAACTTTATTATGTAGAACTGAAAAGTGACAAATCCTCATTGCAACAGCAGTGAGGAGCCTCATGCCAGGCAAAAATCACTTGGAAACACTTGAGTCACACCTGGACTCACTTAAAAGTCTGTTAAGATCCATGGGAATCTCTGCAGGTCACCAGGTGGGTTCTGCCTGGATGCTGAGATGCCTCCCAAGAAGTGAAAGAGGGATGACCAAATGGTTGGAGACACTGGGGAGTGGATGAGAGCAGCTTCTCTTCTCCTTCACTAAGAACTCTCTAGTTTTCCTCCTCTTTGTAGAAGGAGACCTCTGTCAATCGTCCCATTATTCCAGCATCACACCACTGCATGGGCCACAAAGGCTTTGCAAACAGGGGATGCTCAAGGACTCTCCCTGGTGTAGCTGGGCTTTTCTTTTAATGCCTTTGAGATGCTCATGCAAAATGCTGAGGTTGGAAGTCCTTGAACAACATGCAATAAATCAAAAAGTGGCTGCAGCACCAACCAGGGCTCACAAAAACTTCTTTTTCAAGTCCATCCCAGCTGAATACACATGAAAATAATAATATATCACTATTTCATGACCAGGAAAACACTTCTAGATTCATGTCTAAGGTCAGTGACACACTTCATCAGTCAGTGAGTGGGAGATCAGCTGGACAGTTCCCTTGAGGTTTGCTCAAAGGTCTGGAGAAACAGAGACATAGCCTTTACCTCTGGCTGCCAGCAGCTTCCAGGGCACCTCCTGTGCAGCAGGAGCCAGAGCAAACCCAGGACCTGTGCAGCTCTTACCACCCCACCCACGGAGATCACCACAGTGCCCTGAGGTGGCCACGAACAGGCAGAGAAAGCAGATGCTTGACAGACCTGGAGAGGGCCCATGGCAGAAATGGGGGCAGTTCAATTCCATTTACACCTCAGTTTATCCCTCACACCTTCCCCACTGTGCAGTAACTGGCTCAGCAGCTGCTGCGGCAACACTGCTGACTGGCAATCATGGAATAAAATAACAACCATGGTCTGGAAGTAACATAACAACTCCCCTGGCAAACAGTCAGTGCTGGCCGTGGTATCCACTGCTGACACTGTGAGCACCTCAGTGACATCCCTTTCCCAGCTGCTGCTCCTACCTGGGCAGGTGCTGTTAAACGGGGCGTTGAACACTTTTGGGGGCAGCTCAGTTGCATTCTTCTCCAGATCCACTGTGAGTCGCTGCATCTTGATGCAAAAATATAAACTACAATGTACAATTATACAAAGACAGGGGAGCTCGTTAGAACTAGGCCACTGGGAGCATCGGTGCTTCATCACGCTCCCAACACCCCCCAGGAACAGCAGCCACCCTCCTGCCCTGCCTGTCCCCCAGCTCACTGCACCTCCCAAACCCCCAAACCCAGGGCTCCAGGGCAGATCTGCCTGCAGGAGAGGGTGCAGGGAGGTGCGATCCCCCCTGGAGCACTGGCTGACGTGGCTCATGTCACCCGAGGTGACCAGGCTGGTGTCCCGTGGCTGGGTCAGGTCCCTTCCAAGCCCAGGCCATTCTGTGCCTCTGTGATTATTATTTTCATAGCTCAGAAATACTCATCTCTTACCGGGGACAGACTGGCCTCCATTTCAGTCATATTCCACTCACTCAGAGATAAATTGGGATTAAAGACCTGCTGGGAGACAAACACAGTTAGGGCTCTGAAGGGTGGAATGGTCCTCCACTGTCTGCTGGAGGGTTGTAGCCCTGCACCAAGGGAAGCTACAGGCAAAGGCTCCTGTGTGCTGGGCTAAGGGGGCACTTGTGAGACCCCCAGGCCCTGCTGCTGCCTGGGGGGACAGCACAGACATGGGTGCCACGGAGGTGTCACAGACCAGGGCAGCTCTTTGTGTCACTGCACATGCAACTTAAAGCCCTTTTTCACCGCTCTAGGACACCTCCAGAGCCATGTGGGCTTTAAAAGCATTCCAAAACTCAGTAGCACAGGGCAGGTTCCTGTTGCATCATTGCTTCCATGGCAGTAAGTGTGAGCAGTCTGGGAAAAGGAGCTGTTGATCTGGGGCACAGTTCCATGATTCATTCTCACTCTCGTGACGTTAGTTGCACAGAGAGAGACGTGTGTGGGTAACAGGAAAATGAGAAACATTTCCTAATGAGAAACAAGAAACAGGAACCAACAGAGCCAGTGACAGAGCAGCCCATTAGAAATGCTCCCTGTAAAGTCAAAATCAATCACAGACACTTGGGAAATGACTTGAAGAGAATAAGATTGATTTTTAAATGATTTTTCATTCCTATTTATCCATGAAAGCTTAACCTGAAGCACCTCCTCAAGGGAGCATATCTTTGACATACAGATTCTTTCCTTACGGACAGAGTTATTTGATTATTGGCAAAAACCTTTCATATACTAACTTTATGTACAATAGAGAATAAACAAACCTTCCTATTTCTGCATGTATAGCCAAGAAAAAGCCACCATCCATTTCTAAGGAGGGGTGACCTGAGAACTGAGACAGACAACTGCCTCAGCAGAGAGAGAATTTGACATTGGCTACACTTCCCTGAACGTGGGAAAGGGGGAAAGGGGAAGGCAGTAAAAGGTAAACACTATCTAGGAGTATCTAAGATGCAGAAAATAAACTAACCCACACAAAGTAATTACCAAACTAGCTAGAGAGTCATATTAAACCTATTTTACATACATTTGTTGATTTCTTTACCAAATGCACCGTGTTTTGTGCTCTGAGAAGTTCAAATATGTTTATTTTCAGTGCAAAAAGAAAAAGCATCATTTAATCTGAGATCTTTCTAGTTCTTGTGAGCAGGTCGAAACAGGGCTGTGACTCCACAGGCAGCATGTGGCAGACAAAATGCCACACAGGAAGGAGCAGCATGGTCCGATTTGCAGCCCAAGGGAGCCCCTGTGACCCTCCCAGCTGTGACCCAGCCCCACCCCGAGCAGCAGCACTCACATCCAGCAGGCTGGCAGGCTCCAGGCCGTACTGCTGGCTCCTCAGCAGCAGCTGCAGCCCCTCCAGGCTCCAGTCAGTGCCCTCCAATGGGTCTGAAATATCTGTTCTGAGAAAACACAACGGGACATGTTGCCACAAAGGACATTTGCACAGATATGTATAGAAAGCAGGACTGAGCAGCCTTCCAGCAGGGTGTTTGAATCTCATTTTGAAAACCAAGAGCCCACTGCCAGTCTGGGTTTATGCCATGTAACTTGGTTTAATCCCAGAAGCACAACTCAGCAGAGCACACAGGAGACTGGGCTGATGGTAAAACAAGTGAGACTCCCCCTCTCCTGGGTGACACACGTGGTTTGGGGATGGATAGTCTGTAAGCACCTCCTTGAGACTGGGAAAATTAAACCTTTCCTTAGAGGAAATCCTTTTAGAGGCACTTGAAACCAGAACAGGCTGCATTGCCATCCTTACTGGTCCAAGAATTACTGTTAACTGATGCTTTTTAAAGGAGTGACCTTTAGCTGCAGGCATTCAGCCTGCAGGCTGCATTTACTGGAAATACTCAGCTAAAGGAGCAACAGTGAGGCCCTGCTGGGTTTAATCCCCCCAAAAGCTATAAAAAATGTCTCTTAAACTCAGATCTTTAAAAAAGGATTATTTTGCTTCTAATAAAATGTTCTGAAGTATCCAGTGGATTCAGAAGGAGGATTCTGATTCTCTGTAAGGACCTAAAGGAAAACGGAAGCTTTTCTGATAACCCTAATGAGTGTTTTGGGTTCCCCACCATTCCTCCCCAGTCCTCCTTACAGTGCTGCAGCTGCCATAGAGAATGACCTGCAGTTCCACATCATCCACCAAGCTGCACCAGGCTCTCCTTCTGCTGGTGAGGTCTCCTGAGCCCTCAGCCTTGACTTCAGAGCTGTTGGGATTTCAGCCTCAGCCCCCAGCTGCAGCAGAGGCTCACTCAGCCTGCCCTGTGGCTGAGCCCAGGGGCACTGTGCTGCTGCTCCTTGCAGATGCACAGCACAGTCCAGTGGCCTGCCAGCCTGCAGCACAGATGCTGCTCTGGGCTACAGCTTTCACTTGGGCCTTGGGCAAATCCCCCTCTTCCTGCTCCCAAGGCTCTGCTGCACATCCTCTGACAGCCCTGCTGGTCCTTCAGGCAGTCACCCACAGACCCCCCAGCTCTGTGAGCCATCCCTTGCACTTTGAGGCTCCTCTAGCAGGTGCCGCAGGTGCCACAGGTACCAGGCTGCACTTGGCAACTCGGAGTCACCCTCCCTCCTTCCCTCCCCAACTCCCCCCTTCCCCACCCTGCGAGTGGGAAGGCAGAGCCACGGGAACAGGCAGGGCCACAGCTGTCCCTCCTCGCCTCACCTGTCCAGCAGAGCCCTTCTGCCCCTCCTCTCTGGCGGCTGGGAGGTCCCCGGGGCTGCAGCACAGCCCCCCTTGCCCTCCAGGACAGACTGGACCATGGCAACAGGCAGCACCGGGGGCTCGGGGCAGGCCCGGCAGCCGGGCAGGGGCACGTCGGGCTCGGCCGTGCCCTTCACGCCAGGGCTCACGGGCTCCTCCTTGATCAGCATCAGGCACTTCTCCCTGCACCAGAGACAGGGCTCAGCACCACACACAGCTCTGCACGGGCTCCTGCTGCTGGGCAGGGGCACAAGGGCTGCTTCCACTTCCCCTCAGACTGCCCCAGGAGGGCTTTCCACTCCCCCCACGAGCAAAAGGAACCAGCAGCCTTGTTTTCTTCTCAGCAAGCTCTAGAAACGTGCTCAGCTGAAATATCTTTAGTCACTTCATCGGCCACAGTTAAAATGAATTTGTCCCTTTCAATTGTTCTGCAAACATGGGAAATGCACTTCCATGGGTTGATCACTCCTCGGGTGAGTGTTAGGTTAAAGGGTCACTGGGCTGGAGAGGTTCTCCTGAAAAAGTCTCCACCCTAGAGATAGGAATGGGATCAGTAAGACCTTCCCATGCAGGAGTTAGGTTTGGACAGGCAAGCACTCTAGAGATCCCAGTGACACAGGTCAGGATCTCGTGGCTCTCCAGGGCTTGGAACAGAAGCTATCACAATCTGACAGTCCAGTCAGTTTTACTTGTTTGGAGTCTTGCCTTCTTCCAGTGGGAGAGGCACTCCACGTTATTCCCACATGGACATGTACCAATGAAGTTTTTATTAGCAGCATTTTGGATGTACAGGTCTACTCTACATTACTTAAAGGAGATTGCACAGCTCCCTGTGAACCTGCAGAGCTGAAGCCAAAATGACAAAGGCATGTAGATCAACAGGCACAGGGCATGGAAGCCATTCTGAGAACTCTTATCACCCAACACTCACAGACTTGCTTTGCTGAGACAACACCATGTCACACACACAGGATGGTGTGTGACACTGCAGAGCCTTCCTCAACAGCCCCTTCTGATCATCTGCTGGTCTCTGGGTTCTCAGCTCCCACCAGCAGCTCATGTGGATTTAGCAAGTACCACACCTGAACTGATGAGGGCCAGGGCTGACTCAGATCCTCAACAGCACAGATCAGGAGCCACCAGATGGCACTCAGTAATTAGCAGAAATAAGTAACTTAACTTGAAGGTTACATTAAAGTTTTTCTGCTTTAGAAATGGCTTCCAGGGTTGGTTGTTTTTTGTTGGTTTGTTTTTTTTTAATCTGAGGCTCTTTGCATGCTCCTAGCTAATTTTATGGCTATGGTTTCAATTATGTGGCAGATTTACAGGCAATTTCTAGAGTATAACTGCCTCGCCTCTACGCCTCAGAAACTGTTTCCATGATTCATCTGTCTACTTACTTTCCACTGACATAGCTGTAGCTATTCTGCTACTAGCCCTAAACACACTGCATGTCTGTGGCAGGAAGAGATAAGCATTAAAATACCTCTGCATTCAGTTCTTAAGTTACTGGGGCCTTTTCACAGAAAAGTTGTCAAAAATCGGAAGTTGTTGTGATGCAACCTTTCTGTTCTCATTAGCAGAAAGATGTACAATTTGATTGTTTCTTCTCTGCCAAAGCCAAAAGGAAACATTATTTCTCTCTCTCTACAAACCCAACAAGTGTTAGTATCTAGTTAGTTGATTAAGTCTGAGACAGCCCCTGTCTTGAGGACAAAATATAAAAAAACGTAAAATATTTCTCAAAGAGTGGAAGCTCTCAACATGAAACTCAGGACTTTGTTTTGAAAGTTATGCTGTTATTACCCCTCTCTAATTCTGAAAATCTGACCCACTTTGCAAACTGGAAAAAGTATTTCATCCCACCATCTCTATAGAGGTCTGTGTATCAGACAGAAACTTTGGTAGAATTACAGCCACGAAAAAAAACTCCTGTGAAGAGCTGCATGAGTGTGTCCAGACCTGACTCTCCCCATTTCTAATCACAAACATGTTTACCTGTCATTTTCAGGAGGGGGCTGCATATTTATTATGTTGGATGGTGATGCTTCAGTAACGTCAGATATGATGGGTCCTCCAGCAATTCCAGGGCTGTTTAAGCAAGAGGCAGGTTCTGTTGATGGCTAAAAGGAAAGCAAAAATCATACAGATTTATCCTTCTGAGCCCCAGAACAAGTCCAAGGTCCTATCTGACATTGTTGGGGTTTACTCACTGGGACCTTGAGTCCACCCTGTACAGAAACCAACCACGCTTTCACCAACCCTGCAACATTTTAATTTCCTCTCACCTTTCCTCAACCACACAGAGTTACAGGTGTGAAATAAGCACTGGGACTGAAGTGTCAGCTACCAGGAGGTTTTACCACGTCTGACATTTTGCCTAGACTGCTCAGCTTCCTCTGGAGGGAAAGATCCAACCCAGCCCAACAGGGCAGTATGGGTGTCTCATGCCAGCCCACATATTTTAACTGCAGGACAGAAGTGTCTGTTGTCTGCTCTGGTGGGTTAGGGGGAGGTAGGGATCCCTCAGCAGCTACAAAAATCTGGCTCTGGTCAGAAAGATCATAGTACCCACTTCCAGAACACAGCTCTTCCTCTTTTCCCCTGAGGTGAACCAGGCTGGGGTAACACCAGGGAGAGTTTGGTTACAGGGTCCACCTTTCCCCCTCACTCCCACGGCCTCCCACATGAACATAGCAGCACAAGCACACAAAGGCATCCCTGAAACTGGGGAGCTGAAGAAATTATAAATGTCACTCAGCTTTGCAAACCTCTTTTTCACTGCCAAACTCTTGCCAAATTACTTATTCCATAATCTCTGTTACTGCTTTAAGCCTTTTCCCCCCTGGGCACAGCAACCCCCCAGAGCTCAGGGGCCAGTCCAACCTACCGACTGTATGAAATAGGGGTCGTGCAGGGGGTCTGCAGACAAGTGCCGGCTGAACTTGGACACTGGGGGAGTTGAGATCCCATTGTCAAGCATCAGAGGTCTGTGAAGAGAAACAGGTTTGTTTTCCAGCACATACTGACTGGCTCCTGGTTGCTCATACAAGAAATGTCTCTCAGCCGAGGGCTCTTTTCCCCTGAGTACTCTGTCTTTCCTCAGCTGTGAGGGTCTTTCTTGTCCGGTGTTATGGACAAGAAAGGGAAAAGTTTTGTAGGAGGTCACCATTAAAAAAGAACACTACCATATAGAGAAGGGATGGTGCAGATTTTCTGGATCTTATTTGAAAGATGCCAGTAAAATAACAAATTCAATTCATACCCCTAGTTGCTAGTGATTTCAAGCTCTAGGCTGGATCCTCAGCTTGTTTTACTGGAGGTAGTTATGCTGACATGATTAGTGCAATACTGGGAATCTGTATTCCTTCTTACAACTCCCTCACACTCAGAGCCTCTCTGGCAAAACTGCATCCCCATACACAGCACTTCATAAGAGGAACCTGTGCCACCCACTAGGTAAGTCATAAAGCAGAGGAAGACACAAAGCAGAGCACAGCCTGAACTCATTGCATATGGGCTTTCAAAAAGTGACTGCCTAGGCCTTTAGAGATGGTCATTAACAAGAAGCAACAGATCTGTGGGCTGGTCCTGTAGTGGGAATGCCTGTTTTCTTGATTGAAATCAAGAAAAAAATATGAAGGAGCCTCAAAATGTCACTGCTTTTCCATCATGAAACATCCTGGGTGGCAGAGCTTGGTTTTGTGATACAGTCCCAGAGAAGCAGGGAACTGGGATATTTTGCTATACACCCACTATTGCCACTGCTGTAATGACCCTATAAAACTGCCTAGAAAATTCCTTTTCTCCACAAGCACCAAAGGCATGGCTGCTTTCCTAGAAGGCACTAAGCTTCCTAATTCAAGCTCCTCTACTCACTTGCCTGGAAGAGCTTATCTAAAGACACCCCTTGGCTAAAATTTTTCCCCACCTTCCTCTCTGTTGGTTCCATGCCACCAAACCTGTGTTGGATACACACCACATTCAGTGACTGTGGGTCAAACCAAAGGTGTCCATGGGCTGGCTGGGCCCAGCCCTGCTCCTACTGATGTCAAGTGGCAAAACTGGAACGTGTAGGACCAGCAGCAGGGTCCTGCCCTTTAGTCTCCCACTAGTTAGCGTTCCCATCTCCCCTCATGCTCTGTGTTCCCCAGATAAAGGTCATGAGCTGACACGGTGCTTCTCTAAAGAGCAGTGAATGGGGCCTGTCAGCAGGTCTGACTCGGCAGTTCAGCCCTTTCACTGCCCATCCCATGGAGCCCTGGTCCGGTGACCGCCTGCCCGGGCGAGCTGAGCTTGTGCTTTTAGCGAGGGGCACATTATGCACCCACACAAGGGTACTTACAGCTTCCTCTTTATCCCAGTGCTGCTGGGGCTGGATTGCAGCTGGCCAAACAGAAACTGAATCAGCTGTCAGGAGAGATCAAAATCCGGTGTTAATCAGCAGAGTGATTCAGCACTCCCTGCTCCCGCAGCCATCCCTGTCTCACACGTCCTCCCTCCCAGCAGCACCCCAAAGCTGGGAGCAGCCATGAGATACAGGAGCCAAATTGCACGAGACACTGGAGCCTGAAACAGAAATAACCTGTCCAAGGACTCAAACAGCCTGCCTGGCTTTCAAGGGACACAGCCCAGTGCCTGCTTTGTGCAAAGGCTGCTGGATCCATGTGCTCAGGGCTTTCTCTCACCCTTTCTGTGCATGCAGAACTCCAGATGGTCCTATCACACCTGGGAATGCGCCTGTGAAGTGCACATGCAAACATTCCTAGGCCTGAATTAGACTTGGACTCTGTTAAAGTCTTCAGAGATGTTTATAAGAGGTGCTGTAAAGTCTGACAAAGCTCTTGCACGTGAAAGAGGCAGCTCAGGAGGGGAGACCCTGCATGGAGGTCTGAGCTCTTTCAGTTGAGTTTTTCACTTCTGTGAAAACAGGACACTAAAAAGGATGCAGAATGGCTTTGTAGAGGAATCACTTAGCAACATATTCCCAGGTCAGCTTGAACTTAATGCTCTGCTTTGACCTCCAAACAAAGAGAGCATTATTATTATATATCACAGCTGGCTCTTACTCACTGCTCAATATAACAAAATAGAGTTGCATAAAAGCCTCTCTACAATGAGCTGTGTGGCTGGTCCAGCCTCAGAGCTGGAGGAAGGCTTTGATAGCCTCGTGCATTTCTGTCCAGTCCTGTGACTCAGTGATGCCACGTGAGGGTCAGAACATGGCTCTCGGGCCCTGGGAAATGTGACGTGCTCAGTCATGTCAGCACCACCCAGGAATCACTGGACAGGCCTTTTCTATACTGGTCATGTCAGATTTTAAGGGAGATGGCTCCACAGTCTAAAAGGTTGTACAGTAATTCCTTGACTATACCTGTCACACCAGAAAATGTAATAGTCCCAGTGGGGGAATGGCTGGCCAACGTGTCACCTGCAGCTTTGTGCTGGCAGGAGGGGGGCTTCTGCCTTGCACAAAGGAAAGAGGAAAGATTTGGGAAGCTCAAAGGCATTGGTACAACCAGAACACAGCTAACATAGGGCAATCAGTGACAGCTGTGCTCTCTTGCTCAGGACTTCAACATAAAAGGGGTTTCTAATACCACAGCAAGGACTGACAGGGAAATGAAAATCTTTTGCTCTAGGGCAGAGTCTATGCTTTGTTAATGACCACTTTCCACAGGACACATAAAAGCATAACACAGCTTGAAAGAAAGGGAAAATAAATACACTGCGATATCAGAGCGTGGAGATTATGGGGCAGGAGAAAAGCATCAGAGGAGGACGTGGGGCAGGCAGGACAGGCGAGGGTGGAGTCTCTGTCACCACTACCTTGTTGATCACTTTCTGTTGCTGGGAGTGGTTCTGCCGGAGAGAAACAACCTCCCGCCAAAGGACTTCGTTTTGCCTGGAAGGGAAACAGAAATTTTCTGTGAGCACAGAAACGTCCCAACAGCCCATGGTGCTGCCATGACCCATCTGTGCAAAGTCTGCCTCACTCTGGGGCTCCTGTTGTGCTTGGCTCTTGTCAGGTGTCCCAAATAGGGTCACACAATTGCCTTCCTTGTTCTTCTTTGACCTCAAAAGAACTATAGACCAAAGCATGGAGGAAAAACAAACAAGGAAATGCCAACGTTTATAGGGGAAGGTAACAAAGAACACATGCATTTAGTTTTTGTGGAACATTTGGGTCAAACTAGGAATTTCAGCAAGGCCTGATTTGTGACTGTGACTGATTCAGATCACCAAGACTATCCTTCCACAGGAGCCAAGAAAGTCCAGCCTCTCTACAACTGCCCCACTGCTCCCAAAGACAACGAGATCCTATGGATAGAGGGACACTGCGTATTCTCCCTGCGGAAACCTCCTACACATGGGGCTATAAAGGCACGTTTGGAGTGACTGGAGCAGCAGCTAAAGAGATGCTTCTGCCCCTCAGAGCCTTGAACCAAGAGGACTGTAATGATTTGATTAGTGGGAGTGACTCATTTAACCCAGCACAGACCTGTGCTCACATTGCACAGAGAGAACTTGTTTTCTGTCTGCAAATGAAGCAGCACAGAGGGGAGCTTACAGGCCTCCTTTAACAGCCAGCCCCAGTAAGTGGGATGGGGAGATGCAGAATTTATTTACTGTGCTGCCTCCAAACTGGATGCCAGCCAAGTCCACGCTGCAAAGGGTTTTGCCAGTCAATTTATCTCCAGAGTATATGGATGTAGCAAAACTGCCAGGCCAGCAAAACCCATCGTACAGGTGAAACCAATAAATCCTTTTGCTTTTGAGTCTTTCCAGTGTGGATGCTAGAACTGGGAAGATAAGGTCCAGGGCTAGAAAGAGCACAGCAGAGCAGCTTGTACAGCCAGAACCCCTGCAGTGAACTTTCTGTGCTGGCACTGACAGGATTTCCAGCAAAGCAGCATTCCTTAGTCTGACAGCTCGTACTGGAGTTATAAACTAATGCTTCTTCACCAGGGTAAATTCCTTAGCATGCTTTCAGCCTGGGACTTCTCTGTCATAGTTTATAAATATTGTATTCTTCTCATTATTTGAATGCAATTTTGCCTTTTGCCAGATGGAGGGAGGGAGCAAGCAAATAAGAAGGGAGAATAAATTAAAATCAAGGCCAAATAAATGATACTGGAATTCCTTAAAAATTAAAACAAATTCAAGCCCACAAACTCATTGCCACTGCACCTGGATTTCACAGTGCCATCTCATGCATGTGCTAAGTGTGGGAGTTATTAAAAAATTATGTAGGATAAAAATATTTATCCATTGCACATAAGGTGCTGAGCTGGAATGAATCTCATGCAGTATGAATATCAGTTCTCATTATAAGGGAAAGGTTTTGGGTCTTTTTGATTATTCAAGTGCTTCTTAAACAAAGATCTCTGCAAAGATTAATAAAATCTGGAGGCAAATAAAAACCTCTTCAAATACATGATTTATAAAACCTTATCCATTTACTAAGCTTCTAGTGACCATGTCTGACTCAGAAGATCCCAGAGTCTCAGACAGCAGGAGGTCTGGGAGCCACATGCAGGAAGCATTGCATCTGCTTGGTTTGCTCTTACACAACAATTCTGGCCATGGCAGAAGACACAGTCTTCAGAGATGAGCCCACAGACTAAACACTACAGCAGTTCTTGTATTATATATTATAAAGTACTATAATTTTTAGGTCAGTAAAGCAGATAAATGTTAGAAGTGGAGGATAGCAGAGAGTTATATTTTTATTTTTTTAGTAGCTGGAATGGAGTCCACCACATCTCTGCCAAGGACTCTTCTACATGTGAGAGAGTTACATCTTTACCATCCTTTCTATCTCGAGGAAATAGTTATCTGAGTTAAGTCCCCAGGTTATACACATATTTCCTACATGACCTCCTTGGTGCCCTCCTCATCTGTAAAGGGAAAACATAAAGACAGAGAGGCTGAGCACTAATTCATATTTTGTAGATCAGGTGTGCACAGAAATTCTACATGTTGCTGTCTGAACAGATCCAGTCCCTGTGATCAGCCCCTGGCTCACCACGTGCTCCCTGGCAGGGAGGTGTGTAAGGCTCCTCCTTCCAACCATTCCCCACAATCCACAACTCCAGAGAAGCAAATGCCCGTAAGGAGCAGCCTGAGGAGGATTCAACTCACTGCTTCATGTCCTGCACTTGACACTCCATGTTCTCCTGCTGACTCCTCAGTATCTGTACCTCGTATAGCAACCTGCTGAGGTCCTCCTGCCGCATCTTGGTCTCCTCACTTTTCACTACTGACACCTGAGGGGGAAAAGATCACAGGGGGATTTTAGTGGTGCAAGAAGGGCTATGGACAGACAGAGCCCTGTGGTGGCTCAGGGGCAGGACTGTCACCAGCTGGGCTCCACTGGGCTGAAATACGAGGACAGGCAACGTGCACAAGAGTCTGAGCTGTCCTCACAGTACTAGTGCAAGGGCCAAAAGGATAAAATAGAGCAAAGTGCAGGACAAATCTATTCATACAGAACATCTGCTGGCAGAAGAACATTCCCTGCCAGAGTGGGGACCTATTTCAAATCAGCCTGGGGGGAAAACAAAAGTATTTTGAGGACCAGGGAGGAACTGAACTAGACTGTTTGATTTAATCTTTCTATTCTACAGAGATACCCAATCCAGCCTCGAGTTTTGCAGGGATGAGTCTGAGGTAATGCTTCAAACTGACATATTAAACTAAAGGCTTTTGCTGAAGTCTCTTTCCTGAAGTTCCTATGCTAATTCAGTAGGAGAACAGCCCTTTTGGAGCATTTATAACAGGTTAAAAGACAGAAAACAGAGGGTAGGAGTAGGTTCTCTCTTCTGTAAGAAAAGGAGATGGCTGTTGGGGTCCATGAAGGAGTTATGCTGTATTTCTCTAGGAAAGTGGGTAACAACTCAAAGGCAGAGGGGTGGGAAGTAAGCCTGGCCATGCAGCACTATGTGAAAGTCTTGTGATACTGAGCAACAGAGCAAAAAAACACAGACAAAACTCTGCTGAAAGCCAAGCCCTGCACACCAAGAACCCCTGTCCCAGCTGCACATGTATGTGGAGAGGGCAGGAACAAGAGCACAGGGTGATCCTGAGTCACACTGAGCAGGAGCACATTCCCCCTGCCCACCCAGCACCCCTCACCTTCCTCTTGATGTGCTCCAGGAGGTGCTCGTGGCCCTGCAGGAAGCAGAGGTGCTGGAACTCGGTGTCGTCCCGCTCGGGCTTGACGAGCCCCCCCTGCTCGATGTTCACCACCTTCCTGAAGCCATCTGCACAGAGAGGACAGGCTGAAGGGCCACCAGGCCCTGGCACTCCCTCTGCCTCCCACACCCATCGCTTCTGAGGGCATTTCTGGTCACTCTCCACACTTTGAGCTGCTGGTGCTCAGGGCACAGTCGTGCCCCTCGCCACAGCTGGGCACGTTTTGGGGCCATGTCCACAAGAATCCCAAATGAGGGAGAGCCCTGTGCATCCCACTGCTGACAGCCACCCCTGCTGACAGCCCATGCCACAAAAGCCTTGCCACCATGGGCACCTTGGTCAACCAGGAGCCAAAATGCCAGCTTTTAGGGAATTTCCAGTTCAATTTGCAAGCCAAAGTGATTCAGAAGGTTTTTCAAAGGCACAGCCCATCATCAGGTGCCACTTCAGGAAAAAAGAGTCACATGCACATGTGGAAATCTGCTTTGAGTATTTCTCTGAAATCCTGGAAAGGTTTCTAAACTGTATTTAAGGACTGGCCTAAAATTTACAATAATGCTACTGCACAGTGAAATAGCAAAGCTAAAATTTGACTGAGGAACTTTGTAAATTACTCATTGAAAAAATTCCAAGAACTACCAGAAAATAGCTGTGTGTAATACAATCATGGTGTAGAAGTGGCTGAAAACTACCTAAAACTCCTTTAAGGGGTGAAAATGTCTGATCAGCAAGGCCAGGTTTGCAGGGAGAAGTGCTGTCCATTATTAGTTCAGGGATACAGCTGGTGAAATGGAAAAGCTCTGGGCACACAACCCTCAAAAGCAGCAGTTCCTTGGGGAGGTGTCACAGTATCAGGCTGCTGGAAAAGCTCCATATAGAATAAAGTGAAAAATAAATAATAATAGGTCATCAAATTGATGCAAGAGAAGCAGAACACCTGATGGCTGAAAGTTCTTAGCTCAGATCTTAAAATGTGATCTAACAGAAATTTCATGCTGGAATTCAAGGTCAATGAGACCTCAGCTTTCCCTCCACAGCTCTCTCCCACAGCTCCTGTGGCTCCCCCCTGCCTGCAGGGCCCCTGTGGCACTCACACATGTTCAGCTGCCGCACAAAGCTGGCCATGTTGTTGTGCTTGAAGTACTTGGGCAGCACCTCCTTGGCAAAGCGTCCTTGGTCGAACACGTGGAAGCTGGTGCCATTCTGCAAAGGAGACAAGGACAAAGGCAAAGTCAGAGCAGCAGCCCTGACCACGAGAGGGGCCCAGGAGGAATCCTACAGCAGGGGAGTCATTCTCTCTGAGTTGCCACCTGGAAGCTAAGAAGAGTGACAACAGCCCTCGGTGTGCTCCTTTCAGTTCTGGTGCAGTTCTGCTCAGTCCTCTACAGCTGCAGGTTTGACCTTTTCCCACCAAGCTCTGCCAGTGCTAAGTTGTGAGATGTGGATGTGAGAAAGAAACCACTGACCTGTGTCCAAATAGCTGGGAGTCTGTGATCATCCCCCCTTGTGTGGACCTCACAGAAAGACTCTGGAATCTTAAAAAGGCCTGGAAAGTAGGAATTGCCATTATAACTCCTCAATCTGCTTGTTCAGCTCTAACTCCAACCCATCTGCTGCAGAGCACAGCAGTCCCAGTGGGAGCACTGCTTGGAGACACGGCACAAGAAACACAGCAAGGCAAGAAACAAATCGTCTCTGAAGACACCACACGAATCCAGAAGCTCTGTGCACCTTTTCTTGATTATTTTTAAAAGTACGCAGCCACAAGGGCAACCCACAAAAAGTTGACAGTCATGCTTTGCCATCCAAACTAGCAACACACATGTTAACCAGACAAAGGATCCGTGTCTGGGGCTGCACTGCAAAGATCTGTGACTGCAAACCAAGGCAAACTGCCTGGGAGTGCTGTCAGAGACACACTGCAGGCCATGTGCTTTCCCTGCCTGGCCTTCTACCTGCTGCCAGCTCTGTCAGTGCAAAGACATCAGCAGATATGAGGGACCTCCCAGCTCAGCTGAGTTTTGAGGGACAGCTACCTAAAGACACCAAGGTCTGCACAGTGTTGGCAGGGAGGAGTCTGAGCCCAGCACCCCAGAGTCATCCTTCTGCTGAGTTCTGTGTCAGTACCAGCAGTCAGTGGTGTGGCAGCTCGGGGGGATCTCTCACAGAGGGCTGGGCTGTGACAGAGGACAGTGTTGAATCAGAGCCCTCAGGCTGTGTGCAGGAAGAGGATACCTGTGGTGTGTGGGTCCCACCACACCCCCACTACAGGGTCTGTAGCTGCACAGGTGAACTCAGGGCAGCCTGGAAACTTCTAAACAGGGAGTCAAGGCCAAGAGAAAGCTCAGTGACTGAAGAAGGGCTGGTGAGTGCCTGCAGCCTGCCCATGGCCACCAGGAAACAGCCGGCTGGCAAACCCTGCTGCCCGACTGGCTGCCGCTCCATTTCCATCCCCAGATGGTGCCAGTTCCCTCTGTGCTCGGGCTCATTTGGCAGCTCTGACAATTAACACCCACACACACACCACTTTGGGTCAGCTGCACTTCTTGGTCCTTGTTCCCTGCTGCAAACACTGACCATGACTGTGCCTCAGCAGTGCCACTGGACCATTCTGAGTGTCTCTCCTATCATTCCTTACCCCACCTAGCAGGACCAAAGGTTGGTTAAGGATACAGCTGTGCATCCCAGCTGGGTCCACTGATGGAAAATGAAGAGCACAAGGGTTTTCAGTACCTCAGCATCTCATTATGGCCTCTCTTGAGAGGTCATTCCTGTGAATTCAGGGCCACAGTGTTCTCAGAAGCTGGCACATCCAAAAAGTTCCTACAGCAAAGAGACTTCAGAGTTACTGTGTTCACAACGAACTGAGCATGTGCCAGCTTGTTCCCACACAGCAGCTGGGCCTTGTCTGTCTTACACAAGGTGGGAGAACCTTTGGAAGTCTTCTCTGCCCAAAGCAAAACTGACTCTGCAGCATGACAATCGTGGCAGACACTTATCAACTGCTTTTGACAGTCTCACCATGACAGACACCCGGTGCTCTAACCAGACAAGTGCTACTCCAGGAATTTGCCAGGAGTTCTTCCTAACTGCATCATCCATTTAAAGAGTTAATTGAATTACTTCTTGTCCTATCTACCACAGACACAGAGAGCAGACTTTTCCTTTCCACCTAACAGCCTTTAGTGTGTATATAAACCATTACTACATTTCCTCTCCATCTCTTCTTCATGTTAAGAAACAGTTCATAGGTCCTTATAAGTCCTATTTTCTACAAGTTCTGATTACATCCAGAAATCTTAGGCATGCACACAATCTCTCAGCTCCAACATCACTGATGTATAGAAGATAGGGGAAACATGGGAACCTGAAACAATGGGAAGTTTAAACATCTAAGAGCCTTACCAAAACCTCCAAGAATGAAGTTGTAGCCTATGTTAGATTGCAGGAAAGCAGGGCATGGTGGTGGTCAGTCAAAAATAACAATGTTCTAAGTGTAACAGAGAGGCGATTATTTGTACAGGTTAGAAAATCATTCCTAGTTTGAAAATCCTTATTTAAAACACACCATACCAAAACTTGGTGGTTCTCAGAGGTATGACCATGTAATACCAGCATCAAAGCACAGACAACAATGCAGCTCAAATCCTATCTCAAGTTTTGAGTGAAAAGTCTACTGGACACAAACACAGGACAGAAAGGCTGCTTTAGACCTTTTTTTTGCCCCTCCCCTTTACATCTGATTTTGTTATAGATTCTTCACATTGGAGAACAAGTTTATGCACACAGCTCATCTGATAACTCCATACTGAAAACAAATCATGTTATTTGCAGCAAGTCTCAGCCAGGTCAAAAGCACAATGTGGTGATATCAAAGTGCTGTCTGAAGGAAACAAATAAATCATTTTAATTCTGTGGTTGCACTTAGCATAGTAATGCCTCAGTGACATATAAGAAGCCAAAGCAAAGCAATCTATCCCTATGAAGCTGTACAGACAATATATACACACGTCACCACGACCATCACACAGACTCATTGAAAAATCAAGTAATGCACTTACAAAATGAGTGATTTAGGGTGCCAGTCTGAGATCTGTTTAAGCTCTAGGCTGGAATCTGAGATCTGAATACTATTTATCTGCTGCCTTCTCCCAAGACATTTGTGAAAGGCTGCTAAGAAACACACGTGAAATAATACAAACAGCATTGACGTTTTTTAAGGTCTTTGCACCTTCTCTAGAAAATTTTAGGGAGCAGCAGATTCAAACAAGGTGAAAAACCTCTCTCTCGAAGAGTCTGGAATTTTTAGAATGAAAATATTGGACACCTTTTAAAATGTTTCAAGTGAAGTGTGTAAATATTATTATTAAAACACTCCCAAAACTTTTGTCCCTTTGAAATAAAAAAGTCACAATATTGCAGGCAAATAATAGCAAGTATAGCTAAAAGGGCCCTAAATGAACTGCCTTGCACTCTCCCAGTGAGCTGGGCAGCATCTGCACAGCAAGGGGCAGCTGCTGGGCCAGGCACTGCTGGGCCAGGCACTGCTTGGGCTCTCCCTGGTGCTGCAGGCGCCAGTGACACCCCATATTCCCGGTACTCACAGAACTCCAGCAGATGAGATGGTTTGTTTCAGGATCTTCCACCAGCGTCCAGAGTTTCGTTAGGAAGGCTGGGACATTGCTGGAGTACCCATCCATCACCAGAGAGCTGGGGGAATCCTGCATAGCTCCTCAGTGCCCCAGCCCCACTAACCCCATGGCTGTGGCGCGCCCGCCTCCCCGCACGCGCCTGCGTCCCGCACGGACTGAGCCACCCAATTTTATCCCAGGCCAGTGGAAAGTAGGCGTCCAGGGAGTCACATCAGCAGTGCTGCTCGCACTCTTAAAAACTCAGCACAAAGCGATGGCATCACCAGCCCAGAGAACAAAGCAGAGAATGAAAGTGCACTGCAGCCGATCTCGGCGCGGTGAATAAACACGCAGCGTCATGCAAAGGGGGCACGTGCTGGGCACCTTCTGCTGGCAGGGGAGCAAAGTCACCGCAGGGAACCCACCTGCCCAGAGCCCGAGGGATGCCCAGGCACGGCAGGACCAGGTTTGTGAAGGCATCTGGATTGTTATTTTGGAATTTTCCTGTCCTAAGCTTTGGCTGGCATGGATGAACAAGGGCTGGCCAGGCCTCAGGGCTGTCAAAATTTTAAGCTGGTTTGGCCACAGATCCCATATTATATGTCAAGAGAAATTATCTATCTCTTGGGTGAGAAGAGAGGGTGCTAAAAACAGCTACATATAGAATCTAATATGCTTTTATTATCAATATAAATGCTTTAGGTAGCTCTAAATACATGCTCGCAGTGTAGCTTAATGCCAGGATCATTTCTACTCAGAAACTGCTCTTCAAATAACATAATAACACGTAAAATCAAAATTAAATTTTCCCGAGGTCCTTAGCAAAAACCTGCAAAGGCTAAGCTTGACATTCCTGCAAAAAAATGAAAGAGAGTTCTTCTCACCTGAAGCCTGCAGAGTCCCTTAAGACCAAACACCAAAGGAGTCAGGAGGTGAGAAGAATCAGTCACCAGAAGGACCCATTAGATAAGTAAGATACAGGATAAGGATAACAATTCAGTAACTTTTCTTTGCCATTTTCAAAAGGCAACTTGAAACGAGGTATCTAAGAATGGAACATTTCCCCTAGAGCCTGAATCATCAGCAGCAACTGAAAGAACTCAGCATAAACACAAATTTCTCTATTATATAAGCAGGTGTCAGTCATGCAAGATAACATCATCGCACAGAGAAGTCACAATGTCAGTAATGTCATAGCAGAGTGGTGTGTGGTTTGATATGCACTGGAAACAATGACCTGGTTCTTCCTGCAAAGATGCTGGGATATGGAAACCCACTGCTCTCACCCGAGCTCTGTGCAGGGGCCACCAGAGCGGGGAGGATCAGCTGCAGCCCATGGTCTGCACCCCGGGGCACTGGGCATCCACCTCCAGAAGAGAACAGAAGGTTTGCACAAGGAGTTCTTCTGGGATGCAGCTCCACAGCTTTGGAACTGCAGCAGACAAACAGAAGAGACACAGACACACATTAGGATCTATTTAACAAACCAAACCAATGCAACAGGACCACAGAGGAGGTAAAAAAAAAAAATCAAACTTGAAATTTCACCCAATTTTGAATTTGAACACAAAAACCAAGGAAAATCTGTTGGCCAGTTGTTTTACACAGTTTTCTTTGATCAATCCTAAGAACCTAAGTGATGCTTTTCAAGAGTTAAAGATGCCAGATCAAAGCTTTGGGGGCAAAAAAGGCCTTTTTTCCTACAGTGAGGTTTTGCTACCCTGAGTAATAAAAATGCAAGGGAATTTTCTAGTACTGCTGCACTGGTATTCAAAAAGCTGAGACAGATTTCTCAAACTGTGGGGGAAAAAACCTCTTTGCAAGCAGAAGCTCTGAACAGAAAACAGCCCCACATATCCATTTTTTACTGATAGTGCAACACAAGGCCTAGAGTAGAAAGCAGCAGCATAATGACAGTGGTCCTTGCCTGTGATGAGATGTTACAGTTTGGAAATAAAAACGTTTTATAACTGTGACTCCAGTTTGTAGAAACTGCATTTACACATCTGATATAAAAAGGGAAAAGTACATTTTGATCAACCTTCCCTGTGAACTACAATGCAGAAGAATAACCAACTGGAAAGAAGGCTGAGGTTCAGAGCATCAGACCATTTTTATCCATCTTCCAAAATGCGTTGCATCCATCTTTGAGATTTCTGCACAAACAAAACCACCACCATGACATATTTTTTCAGCCCTCTCATGACCAAACAAGGGATTTTTAGAAGCAAACCTTCCCCTTCCTAGACCAGCACTGGAGCATGGGCCAAGTCTCTTACTCTTTCTCTGAAATTCATGGCGTTCCCGCTTGCTTTGGAAGCCCCAGGTCTCAGAGTCACAGCATTATCTCAGCATCACAGGTCTCACTGAAATGAAAACCTGTGCATCCAGAGATCCTCAAAGCAGGGAAAGAGTTGAAAACCATGAAGCAAGTATGGAGCAGCGAGGCAGAAAGCATAACACAGAGAGGAACACAACTGCACAGTTTTGTAGAATATGAGGCTCTGAAGCATAACTGGTTATTCTGAGTGTGAACAGCACAACAGCTCTACTATCTTATCTGCCATCGTATCAGCCCCCTTCCACCCAGCAGGGCTCGAGCAGCCAAGTGACACGGTCCTGCTTCCTTCCTGGGAACTCAGCATTTTCTCTGACAATCACCTTGACTGCTCGGACCCTGCTTTTCTACTTTTAGCTGCTTTTAATACTCGCTCTAATACACGTTTGCCAAAATGTCAAACCAGGCAAAGGCCTTATGTGAGATCTCACGTGTTCAGCTCCTTTCATTTTATGATTTGTTTAAAGCCTTTGGAGCCATTAAGAAGGATCCTGAATCTCTTAGACAGCAAGAGTGCATTTTTAGCTGTGGTGGTTGCTTGGAAAAGCTGAAGAGTATGGCCTGAGCACAGGAAGGGAGGCAGAAGGGCAAAGTTAATAGTGTTAAAGCAGCTGAATGGGATTGGGTCAGCCAGAAACAGGGTTCATGGTCTCTGAGCACTGCAGGCTGGCCTGGGCCCCCCTTCAGAGCCCACCCCAGTGAGGACAGCAGGCTTGGGCCAACTTTACTTCCCAAGTGGGAAACAACAGGATAAAACTCTAAGTGCTCATTATCCCACCCCATGGGATGCTCCCTGAAAGCACATACTCAGCAAGGGTTAGCAGATGAGAAACTCAGGTCTCAACTACCCTTTTCTTTTTTATCCCCACAATATGCAGCAAACAGAGTAGCTTCAAGGAAAAAAACGTTCACAGGACACGGTTGGGTGGTGCTCCCCACAGCGACTCACCCTGTGGTTCCCAGTTTTGGGTTTTGTAGGGGAAGGTTGAGATGTCTGGGCTCATTTAAGCCCATCAGCCCTTAAATGCATGAACTTGCTTGCTTAAACTGTCAGCAAGTACCTGCCTGGCTTCCAGGAGCGCTGGCACTGCCAGGCCTGCTGACCCTGACAGGGTCTGTGGGTGCTGTTCTGACGCTTGTAAACCAGAGCACCCAGCAGAGCCAGCCTAGATTAACCCCTTCCCAGAGCTATTTCAATCACATTTTCCCTTTGGCAAACAAATTAAGTTTGTATTGTTAAAATACTACTATTGTAAAATAGCATCAAATGCATAGGTATTTTTAATCCTTTATAATGCTTCCTGCTTTTGTTTGAAGTTCAGGTCCCCAGGGAGTTTGCACAAATCACTGCCAAGCCAGAGGGACGATGGCAGCTTGCACAAAATCCGGCCCCAGGTCCATGCCAGCTTCTTGCCAGCTGGGGACAGACCAGGGGGCTGCAGTTACCCCTCTGCTCACAGGACACCTGTGCAAGGTAAATGCAGCCTGGGCAGGAGGCTGTGACCTGAGGTTGAGTAATGCAGACCCCAATCTTGCTTTGCTTGGCACCGGACCTCTCATGGACTCGGGAGAAGCTGGTCTATCCTCTCTCCCTGCCGGAGCTCTCCTCAGCAGCACCGCGGGGGCAGCGGAGCGGTGCCAGCCGGGCCCAGCCCCGCGTGTGTCCGCAGGGCTCCCATGGACCCCCTGCCTCCGACCCGATGGGCCGGGACAGACCCGCGGCCCCAGCCGTGGGCGGCTCTGCGGCCCCGTAGAGAAGCATTCCCGACCAGTGTCACACCCTCACCCACACGAGAGGCCGAGCACCAGGGCCGGGTGTGCGGCCCTGCGGGAGGACACCGGCAGGGCGGCCGGGCCAGCAGGAGGCTGAGGGGCCGGCGCGGTGCCGCGGCTGTCCCGGGCCGGGCCGATTCCCCTCCCTCAGCCCGGGCCCGGGCCGGGCCGATTCCCCTCCCTCAGCCCGGGCCCGGGCCGGGCCGATTCCCCTCCCTCAGCCCGGGCCCGGGCCGGGCCGATTCCCCTCCCTCAGCCCGGGCCCGGGCCGGGCCGATTCCCCTCCCTCAGCCCGGGCCCGGCGGGCGGTGCCGCTGGGGCGGAAGTGCCGGGGCCGAGGCCGAGCGCGGGACGAGGTAACGCCGGGCCCGGGGCTGCGGCGGGGCCGGGCCGGGCCGGGGGCGGGTGGGTCCCGCTGGGCCGGGCAGAGCCGGGCCGGGCCGGAGGGGCTGGGGCACACCCGGGGCACACCCGGGGCACACCAGGGGCACACCCGGGGCACACCAGGGACACACCCGGGGCCCCGCGGGCGGTACCGCCGAGGGCAGCGCTGCTCCAGCGCCTTGCCCGGGGACGGCGCGAGGCCGGGGCGGGCAGGGAGCGGCAGCGCCTGAGCCTGCCAGGAGTCGGCGAGAAGGGCAACAGCCATGGGCACAAACGAGACTTTCAGCCGGGGCTGGTGTTCTGACAGCACGAGGGTGCGGAGTGGGGACTGGGGCGGGCAGCGCTCACGGGGCTGCACAGTTCACCTGCTGGGATAACACTGCAGGGGCACGACAGCAAAGGGCACAAGCATAGCAGAGGAGTAGTCCTGAGTCACAGAATCACAGAACGGTTGGGGTTGGAAGGGACCGTTCAAGGCATAGTCCAGCCCCTCCGTGGTGGGCAGGGACATCTTCAACTTGACCAGGTTGCTCAGAACCCTGTCACACCTGACCTTGAATATTTTCAGGGATGGGGCACCCACTACCCCTCTGTGCAACCCTTGCCAGCGTTTCACCACCCTCATTGTAAAAAATTTCTTCCTGATATCTAGTCTAAATCTGCCATCTTTTAGTTTAAAACCATTAGCCCTTGTCCTATTTGTGTAGACTGTTCTGCTACGAGAGCTCTGGGCTCTGCAACATATCCTTTACTGAAGACAACCAGGGGACTGGGACCTCAGGCAGAATGCCTCTGCCAGCAGTAGGGCTTCAGTCCATGGGAAAGTGCCAGAACCAGGACTCCTGGAGCACCTCAACTGTGCATCTTCAGGGTTTGTCAGCTTGACTGGTCAGTCAGAGGCATGAGGACTGAAACTCTTGAGGACTGAAACTCTTTGCTTTGTAGTATATTTGGACTATGAAATGAATGGACTCCAGTGGAAAATGAAAGCAAAGCTTTGTGAGCTGCTGGTTTTGGGACACCATGTCCCTGCTGTCCCGTGCTTTGCAGAGTAACAGTAAACTCCTCAAAGGTTACACTTGCCTTAACAACATCAGCACTGCTCTAAGAAATAAGGGTGAATCCCCATAATTCCATCATGCCTGTGGCTCAGTGTTTGCTGTAAGCACTCCCCTGGCATCAGGCCATTTTCCCTATGGTCTCTCAGCTGGCTGTGTGATTTTGTAGGGTGCTGAAGATGGCAGGCAGCTCCAGTCCCTGGATTGGCAGTGCTTACCTGTTCCTCCAGTCGACGAGCAAGACCGTCGTTCTGCCGTCTCTCTACGAGAGCTCCCGGGAGAAGCCCGGTGTGTTCAGGGCACTGAAGCTGGCATTAGCAGGTATCTGTTCTCTCTCATCTCTTGGTGTGCTGCCTCCTCTCTTCACACAGTGCCACGCCTTTCTCTAATCTCACACTCATGGGCAGGGAAAGCTTGTCCTCACTGTTTAGGAAAGACAACAAAGTAGAGTAAGTTCAGCAGAGGTTCACCCTGTGAGGAGAGGCTGAGGGAGTTGGACCTGTTCAGCCCGGGGAAGAAAGGCTTCAGGGGACCTACCAAACAGCCTGCTGATACCTGTGGGGAGGGGGAGATGGAGAGGGAAATGAGAGGGAGACACCAGACAGAAGGACATGTCTTCCCCATGAAGACAGGCAGTTGCAAAGTCCTGTCTTTCGAGGTAGCTTTACAGCTTCTTGAACACTACTCTTACAGGTTTCCATGTCTGTGCAGCTTTTCCTCCTCATCCCTCTTATCCTGTTATGGCAGCTTTTGTTTAATAAGCACTCACAAAAAAAAAGTATGAAGGAAGAGATAAAAAGACACTTCTGGTCATCCACAGTGAATTAAAATGCCCCATGTCCCAGTTACACATCTGGTCCAAACTAGGCTTTCTGATGCAACCAGGACTCAGTAAACATGTAAAGCCACTGTTAGATGGCAGATCACTTGTCCTGCCTAGTGTGGAGCACACATTGTCCTCCAAGCATGGGATTGTTCTTACCTTGGGATTGTCCTCCATGCCATGATGTGTGGTTTAGCAGTACCTGAGGTAGTGCCAGTCTGAGCTGGTGCCTCCACACAGCCCTGTGTAATGACAGGCCAAGAGTTTGAGTCAGGTCTGGAAGCAGTACAGCAGCCTCCCATGGGCCTCTGCTGCAAAAAAAGAAAAACCACATACTTTGAACTGTCATCATCAGCATATAAAGTCACTGTGGAGACAAGATCAATGTTCACAGCTAATAAAAATTAAATTTTCCTGGGAAAAGGAAGCCTGGCAATTTCTGTTGTCCACATCGCTCCTGCTCCTCCTATAGTAATGTCAGAGGGTACATTCCTGGCTTCTCCTTGCTAAGATTTTACTGTGAATTAATCCTCTGTGCAAAAGACCTTAACAAGTCAAGGCCCAGTCTCAAGCAGCTTAATTCCTGTGGCTGGATCTGTCATTCACCAGCCAAAGTTACCTCTAGGCACAGACTGGAGAGGAAACACTGGGTCTCTTTCGAGGAACTTCATCACTGCATAAAACTCCAGTCACAAGGACTGAAGACTGAGTGAGCACTGAGCTGAACTGAGCTTTCATCTGTAAAACTTTCCTGTGCTACCAATTTAGCGTAACCATCTCAGCCCTGGAAATGGAACCTCAAATTTAAAACTTCCCCTAATAAACAGTGTTGATACAATTACCTGGGATGCAGTTCCATACATCTTCAGTTGGACACCATACTTCATGGAGATCCATGGTGGCAGCAAGAACTTAATCCTTCCCTCTTGGTTTTACGTGCAGGGTTTTCATCCCAGAGAACTTTGTCACAAAGAGAATTCAAAAGCTGCTCCATTGCAGGCTTGGTGGTGGATGGGAATGGGTCTGGGTGGGCTGTCTCATGCCTGGATAGTGACTCTGCTCACTTCTCCCTGCCAGACTCCACGGGCAGCATGAATGGTGTGGACATGCTGAAGGTGCACTGCAGCCACCCCCAGCTGATAGTGCAGCTCAAGTTCTGCAGGCAGGAGAACTGCCGCCGCTTCCTGCGCAGTTACCGCGACGGAGCGCTCCAGAAGGCCCTCCAGAATCACCTCCAGCTCTCCTTGGCCATGACCACAGTGCCTCTGGAAATGGAGCTGAAGACTGGCAGTGAGCACCTTGACAACATGCTGAAGGATGAGGATCGTTGCCTGGAGTGCATCTACAGAGAAAAGGTGAATGGGAGGGGAGGGAAGGCAGGCAGCAATGAGGAGTGGTGGCACAGGGCTTGTGAAGGTGGCTGCAGATATTGTTCTGATGCAGCATGTTGGGTTGACAAACTTCTTCCTTTAGTTCTCAGCTGTAATGTGGAGAAACAGCTCTGCCCTTTCCCAGAAAAGAGCCGTGCACTTTTGCAGAAGGGCAGTAGCATTCCCTAAAACATCCTACAGAGATCCTGCTGAATCCCCACTGTGGCTCCTGTGTGTAACAGCATGGTGTTATCCCCACTAAGATGAGGAATGCTAGAGGGTGCAGCTGAGAGCACAGCTGTGCCTGGTACAGCTGTGAGGGGGCACAGAGGACAGCACTGCTCAGCACCTTCCTGCCCTGCCTCTCACACCCCCTGCTCCCAGAGCAGCCACGGCAACTGCACCTAGAAATGAGTGTGAGTGCAAACACTGGGCACATCACACCAACCCCCTGGGACAGAGTGGGGACACACAGCACCTACTGCCAGCACAGCTGCCTGCCCTGCTGAAGGCAACATCTCTCAGAGCCCACATCACACACTTGGGCACTGGCACTCTAGTCCTGCCTGCAAGAACTGTGAGGTCGTGTCATCTCACCACAAAAGCAAGGCACCTGACATGATTAAACTCATCACCTTCCTTTTTTTCCATCTGGAACTATAGCTCTGGCTCCTCTAGAAGGTCCTGAGAAATAGGTAGTCACCATGTATTCAGGAAGATAAGCACACGAGCAAGTTTTGCCAGGTTGCTTCTCTGCAAGCAGAGAATGAGACTCAAACCTTTGATCCCTGGACCAAACACGTGTTATCCCATACCCTGTCAGCTTTGGCTTGCTGCTCCCTCCCTCTGCTGAACTAGCTGACTGGACAAAAGAGATGGGCTTATTCTCAGTTCCCCAAAAGTGTCTGTCTCAGTCTGACCCCACCTAACAGGCCACAGTCAGAAAGATGGCAGTGGGGCCCAGCTGTCAGCAGCTGAGGGCAGTGCTGGGACCTGCTGCACATGATGAACTAGTGGTTAGCTCTGACTGAGTCAGAGTACTCACCAGGTTTGACTCTTCTCATGTGCTTT